TCTTCTTCTCCCATTCCCTCTATTTTTTCCCTTTATTCCCTCTCTCCATTCATTTTCCTGTGGGGAGCAACTCGGACTAGACTGTTACTGGAATTAAGACTTATTCTATGCATCTGCTCTCCCACAATATGGCGCTGGGAGAGGAGTAAACAGCTTCTACCCAGCTGCCTCTCACCAACTTGACAAGCTGCAGGAGCTGCTCCTGATTGGAGGAGAGCGGCGTGCTCGGCGTATGGGCAGCCGAGTTGGGATTGGCGGAGGAGGACTATATAGGAGGAGAGAGACGGCATAGTGGGGTGGGTTGGTTGGAGAGTGCGTTGGAGAGTTCGCGGGGAAGTTCGTTACTTCGTTCTTTCTCATTTCTCTCTACTCATTCTTGCTTTGGGAGTTTGCTGTTTACTTATTCTTACTTTACTATAGAAAGGACTTGTAAAAAAAGGGAACAACAAGCGCCCGGTCCGGTGCGGCTCCTCCGCGTGCGGAGGAGCAGCAAGTGGTGCCATGACTCGGATATGAAGCCTAGGCAGCGTTTAGTGTTGTTCCTCCACGAAGAGGGGGAGCGACATAATGGTGCCGTGACTCGGATAGGAAACCTAGGACGGATAGCAAACTTAGGAGGGAAGAAACGGGAAGAAATGGGAAAATACCGGAGAGAGAGACTAGCAAAGAGCCTAGGTGCCGGAAGAAGCTATTGAAAGCCTAGGCATAGACTCGGATATGGACTGTGGGAAAGAAGTTAGGATTGACAGCGAAAGTGAAAGCTTTCATAGACTCAGATGCGGACTATGGCGGGGAAGCTAGGAGACTGAAAGCGAAAGTGAAACCTGGAGGAGGCTTGGACTCGGATACGGACTGTGGGGAGAAGCCAGGAGAAATGAGAGGAATATTGTTGGAAGAAAACTTAAGGAAACATACCGGGTAGAGAAAAATGTTAGGGAGGATGAAGCCGCGAGTGCAGGCCGAGGTGGATATAAGCCACCTTGGAATTCTTCAAGTCACCCCGGGGAGCAAGAGGCGAAGATCTGGAACCAGAGGCAGAGACGTGGGCCGCCAGGTTGAAATTCGCCAGGTTAGTCCGGGGAACTTGGACTGAATGCCGGTGGTGGCGGAAACATTCGCGGAAGCCGCTGCGTGCAGAGAGAGCATGGGGCGTGAATAGATGGGGAACGCGGGGCTGGCGCGAGGCCGTGGTGCGGGCGCGAAGTGCATGGAGACCGCGGAGCGTGCGCGCAGAGCCGGGAACCCGCCGGCGGGGCGAGGCGCCGGGAAGCCGCGCAGAGCCGTGAAGCTGCCGCGGGGCGAGGTGCCGAGAAGCAGCCTCGGGGCGAGCGCCGCCGGGAAGCCGCAGGGATAAGAGAAACAGAAGTTTAGAAGTAAAAGGAGAGAAATAGGAATGCTGGAAGATAGAAGTAAAATGGGAGAAATAGGAATGCCCGGAGATAGAGAAATAGAGAAATAGAAAGGCCTCCCTACAACACTGCAATGTGAGAGCTTGGATTCGGTCTGCCTGATTAAGTGAGGCGATGAGCACCTGCGGGCGGCTAGCAGCTTATGCGCCGCAGGTCACCGAAGACAGGCACGAATTAACATCAGTAAGGCCTCCCCACAATACAGCAATTAGGAGGCTTGGATTCGGTCTGCCTGATTAAGGCGGTAAGCACCAGCAAGCAGCTCGACCAGAGTATGAGCTGCAGGTCACCGAAGATAGGCACGAACCAACACTAATAAGTCTCCCCCACAATACGGCAATGAGAAGGCTTGGATTCGGTTTGCCTGATTGTTAGGGCTTGTAAGCCCCTGCAGGCAGAGCAGAGCATGCGCTGCAGGGCACCGAACACAGGCACGCATCAGCGCCTAAAAACCTCCTCACAACATGGCGAAGAGAGGACCCGGATTCGGTTTGCCTGATTGATAGGACTTGTAAGAACCTGTGGCAACTCTAGCAAGCAGAGCAGAGTGTGTGCTGCGGGACACCGAAGACAGGCGCGTATCAACGCCAAAAAAATAAAAAGAAAGGGGGATCTGTGGGGAACAATCCGGACTAGACTGAGTTACTGGAATTAAGACTTATTCTATGCATCTGCTCTCCCACAATATGGCGCTGGGAGAGGAGGCAACAGCTTCTACCCAGCTGCCTCTCACCAACTTGACAAGCTGCAGGAGCTGCTCCTGATTGGAGGAGAGCAGCGTACTCGGCGTGTGGGTAGCAGAGTTGGGATTGGTGGAAGAGGACTATAAAGGAGGAGAGAGACAACATGCACCAGGAACATCGAAGGGGAACATCTATCTGAAGGAACACCTGTGCAGCCACCGAGAGAGCCGGCTGGCGGTGTGCCGCTCCCCTGCGGAAGTGGGGAAAGTGGCCAGGGGGAACCGCCCTTCCATGGAGGTGGAAGGGACGGCAGCCAACCCGGGAAGAACCAGCAGCAAACCCGGGGAGGGCCGAGCAGACAAAAGAACAGCGCAGGGTCCTGTGTCGTTCCTCCACGAAGAGGGGGAGCGACATAATGGTGCCGTGACTCGGATATGAAGCCTAGGCAGCGTTTAGTGTCATTCCTCCACGAAGAGGGGGAGCGACATTTTCCCATTCCTTTCTTCTTTCCACTCAACCAACATTTTTGAGTACCTCTCCTCCATCAGGTAGTTATAATTTCTTTAACTTTATCCTCTCCAGTCTTGGGCATATGCTCCCAGGTACTGATTATACTCATAAACTCAAGGTGAGTTCCTTTCTCTGATTTTGCACAACTTCAGTAACTGCCAGATGATAAGCACATTTGCGTTCACTATAACATTGTACGTTTTCACTGTTAGAATAGTTAACTATTGCTGTCGTTCTCAGGTGATAAACACATATGCATTCCTTGCAATTTTTCAACTTTTCACTGTTGCATTACTTATTTATTTCATCCTAACAAATTCTTCTGAAATTTAGCAGCTTAAGACAGCATTTATTTTCTCACAGTTTCTGGGATGGAAGCCAGGTACAGCTAGCTCTGCACTGGAGTCGCACAGGCTGTACCTAATGCATTAGCCAGGGCTGCAGTCCCTTGAAGGCTCCCTTGAGGATAGATCTGCTTCCAAGCTCCCTCATATGGTTGTTGGCAGGACTTGGTGTTCCCCAGGCTGATGGCTGTAGGCTGCAGGTTGCAGGCTGCTTCAGTTCCTTGCTGTGTGTCCCTATTGAAAGCAGAGCTTACAACATTGCAGCTTCCTTCATCCCAGTGGACAAGCAAGAAGAGCCATCAAGATGGAAATCAAATCTTTAGCAGTCTAACCTAGGAAGTGGTATTCTATCCCTTTTGCCATATTGTTGATTAAAATGGAGTGCCTAGGTCTTGCTTCACACATGGGGTGGGGATTACACAATGATGTTCATGCCAGGAGGGTCTGTGGTTGTAGTTGTACTTTCAGTAGGTGACAGTAGTGCAGGAAACTCGAGTGTGAGTTGGCAGTTTTCTTTTAGTCTGTGAAAGGATGAGGACAAGCCCAGATTAATAAGCACCTACTATGTGCCAAGTCCAGTGCCAGATGATTGCATCATCTTGTTTACATCCTTCCTGATTTGTAGATGTCTATGGCAGACTAAGAGTTTTCCTTCAATATTTGTTCTTATATTCTTTCATAGTAAAAAATAAAACTTTTGTGGTTGCTTGGATAAATGGTTTACTTCCCATCCTCTCTTGAGGCTAGGTGTGATCAGGTGTTTAAGTTTTTACCAGTGTGTTGTGTGGCAGTTTCCAGTAATTCTCCTGAAGGGAAAGCTAGTACATATTCTTTCATCTTCTTTGTCCTTCCTCCATCCTTTTACTTGGGATATAAATCTTAGACAGTGAGATTGAGACCATGGAAGTGAAACAATAAGAATCAGTCTAGCGGGGACACTTGCTTCAGAAGCCTGCATACAATATTAGACTGGGGGGTTGAGTTCGACCCCACTCCCTAATCCAACTTTCTGCAAATGTGTACTCTTTGAAGTAGCAGGTAATGGCTCCTGTAGTTTAGTCCCTGATACTCACATGAGATACCTGCATGGAGTTCTCAGATCCTGGCATCAGCATGGTCCAGCCCCAGCCATTGCAGGCATTTATGGAATAAAACAGAGGATAGTATCTCTCTCTCTCTCTCTCATTCTCTCTCTCTCTCTCTCTCTCTCTGTGTGTGTGTGTGTCTCTCTCTCTTTCCCTCCTCTCCTTTTCTCTTTTTCTTTCTTCCTCTCTCTCATCTCACTGCCTCTCCAAAAAATAGAATTTAAGCAAACAATTCTTGAAAACCACAACTAATCCATGCTCATGACAGTGTGAATCATCACTTTTTGGGTAAGAGACAAAGAATTGCTCTTAAACTTCTGCTGTTTGAGGGTTCTGTCACTGCCAGCTGAACTTGATCTAGCTAATTCAGAATTCGGTAACTACAAGTGCAATGCTACACGCAACTGACAGGAAAATAAGTAGTACTGGCTTAGTGCAGAGTTAGCATGCTTTTTCTTTAAAGGGTTAGACAGTAAATATCTTAGGTTTTGTGGACTATATATGGTTTTGGTCACAAAAATCTCCATTTATTGTTTGTAACAACTTTTCAACAATGAACAGGAAACATTCTTAGCTCAACCCTTTAAAGCCACAACAGCCACTTTCAGCTCAAGATGCAGTCAGCAAGGGGCTGCTGGATTTGGGGCAGGGGCCATAGTGTGCAGCCTCCTGCCCTCCTCCTTCAAGGAGCAGCAGATTAGCCCAGTGCACATGTTGACTTCAGAGCCCAGCTCCCTTTCTAGAGTCCTGGTTTGTTGTTATTTCAGTATCTGAGTATTTCTCTTGTTCGCTTTATTGATTGGAAAACAACACACTTACTTACATTTACTCTCAGAGGGCATTATACACAAAAGATGCAAAGAAGTCATCCCAAACACATTGTAGTTACGGATTATTAATATTCAGCTACTTAGACAAGAAAGCAAAACTTTATTTTTTAGGAAAGAAAAAATGAGTCAGAAACTCATATTGGTGGTTTGTAAAACTTTATAATGGTACTTGCAGATTCCATTAAAATCATATCATCATCCTGGAATTACACAGCATTGCATTCTCCTTTCGTGTGATTTGTGATTCTAAAGTGCCTATTTTGTTCATATCATCCAAACTAGTGATTATTTTCCCAATAAGTGAGTGGTACAATTTTATTTAACATCGTTAGACCACAGAGTTCTATAAAACATTGTACTCAAAGTACAAAAATACATGCTTTATGCACATTATTTAATACTGTTTTTTTTCTCACTGGTACCTTAGCTAGCTAATTTCACATAAATAAAAATAATAACAAAAAGGAAAAGAAGCAAGAGATTTTTTAACAACTGGAACTGTAAATGCATTTTTGCTGATAGCTTGGCTTGCAGGAAGAGATGGGGGATAATAATAGGGGATAATAATGTCTTGCTATTTTGCTATCAGAAAAATAGGGTAAAGAAAAGAATTCCATGAAAGAATAGGGAGAAAAAATACAATTCTATTAAATATCTAAACCAGTGGTAATGATGATTCATTTAAGTGGATTTCTCTGAAATCTGTGAGCCCAAAAATATCTTAGGAATTAGAACAGAAAATGCCAAATTTGACAGTTGTAAAAAAAGTACATATATTTCGTTGCAAGTCATTTACTGTGAGAACAGATAGCTATGGATAAGGCTTGTTAAGTAGATTCTACAAAGACAAATATATTCGGAAAACAGAACTAGCTAATGATCAAAATGTTGTCAAGTAAATTAAAAGTATGGTTGCCCACTCATTAACATTAAAAGTCATTACATGAATTCTTCAATTCCATGTTTGAAACTCCTTTTGGATGTCTAACTAAACCTTCTTCTCCTCCAATTTTTGTGTAGTCTAGTCCCTTATATTTCTCCTGGGAGGAGTTATTTGAGAACTCATTTTACCTAAATGACAATAGTAGTTCAAGTTTTAAATTCATCATCAAATCCGTCTTTAAGTCATTCTGAAAGGATTGTACCAATTCAGTGTTTGACAATAATAGTGGAAACCTGAGGTTTCAGTCAGAGTTGAATTGGGGTTCTAAGTGGTGAAGCCTATGAGCTCATGAAATTATGCCCAGTTTTGAAAAAATTTACATGGTTCACTAGACCATGTGCCCCACTAAGGTAAGGAAGGAGAAACATGATGTCTCAAAAATCCATGGAAATGCACATTATAGAAAAGCTATGAATGGGTTTCAAGATTTTTTTTTTGCACTAAAACATTTTCCATGAAAATTTTCAAGTACATTTGTACGTATTTGTATTCACAGTTTCTGGCATGAGAGTAGGTACATGGGAAGCTCAGACAAATCATGCATTCTTTGAAGAATAGGTTTGTGAGTGAATAGCTATACAACCTATAAACTTATTTAATAAAAGAAGAGTAAAAAGAAAATTCTATAAGGAGGAAACTGACCCGTTAATGTTATTTTTCCATTAAAATAATAAAATTTTAAAATAGGACTGTGAGAATTTTTGGTGAAGAATAGTTGATAGATTATCATAATAAATTTAGGTGCAAGAGGTTTATGGTTTGAAGAAATTTGTGAAGCAGAAGCAGGGAAAAGACAAAATTCTTTTTCAGGTGAAGGTTTGCATAGAATATTTTCTTGCTTTGGAGAATACGTAGTCAGTTCCTTCACTCAAGGAAGAGAGACATCAGCAAATACTCTAATTCTGTATTCGTGCCCTGTGGATTTTTGATGGGCCAAGAAAGCACTCCCAAGAGCTGTCTTTCTTCTTGTCCCCTGTCCAATCTGGCGCAGAAACTACTAGCTCTGCCAATTGAAGGTAGAGCCCAAGACCAAGAAGTGAGAGGAAAACTAGGACCAGAAATGAGCTAAGTGGAGGGCCAGCTGGAAAGGAGAGTGGATTGAAGGTGATGTTGGAAGAAAAGGCAGCGCATTCCTCTGTGTTCACTATGATCCTACCCCAGTCTGAAATATGCATCTGGGCTCTTTAGTTTAAGCTGTATCTGCTTTGGAGGGGGCAATTCTTCAAATTGGAAGAAAAATCCATAAAGGTGGGGGAGACGTGTCACTGTATAATTTGTTGTCTAACCTGGAACAAATTGGAGAGTAAAAAGATTCATGGTTAATATTTATAGTGAGACAACGGAAGTTCAGGCAGGACTGTCCTGGAAAACCAGGATGTACTGCCACCCCAGAAAGACGTTACCAAGCCCTCAATGGTGCTGACCGTCTTCAGTCTCCATAAAGTTCTCATGGGGACTTACTTTTTTTCTTTTTAAGGTGCTTTTGCTTGGGATCTGCCCTTCTCTTAGACAAAGAAGTGTATGTAAAGGGAGAACAAGACGCATCCTCTCTGTCTTTCAGAAGAGGAGTCTGTAGGGAGAGGTAAATGCACATGTGCTCCGCATTTTATTCCAGGTATGTCTCAATGAATGAAGGCTTTTGGTTTCCAAATTATTTTTCCTTTCAGATTGGTTGTGAACTTCTTTCCCTTACTAGCTAGAGTCAAAATTTTTCTTTTATCTTTCTAATCCAAAGGAGAAGAACCAAGGAAGTATAAGGTTTCAGTCTCCTATGTAATGATTGCATTGCTTCAATATTAAACCTATGCATTCTACTTTCTGTATAAATACTGTAAGAAAAATCTGGCTTTTCAAAATGTCAAACCTTTTGGGAGTAATAGGACAAGTTATACTCTACTCACTTTTTACTTAATAAAAAATTTTTAATGTTTTACTCTGTAAGTGAAGAAATAGAGTATGGGAATCAGAGAAAAAAAAAAACTCGATTTCTTAATAGCTTCACTTGCTACAGTAAGACCTGCTTTGCTTTGTCTTCATGTTGGCAAATAAGAACACAGTCTGGTGGATACATTACACTTTCTGAGTATATATTCTAGTAAAACTCAGAGCATTTTCAAGATGTTATTAGAATGAAGTAAAATTTCAACATCAGATTTGACCATCAGTTTAACAAAATCCAGTTGACAATGGTTGCATGCCAGGTGGGAATGTTTGTTACCTAGTTTTGCTCCATCTTCCAAAAAGCATCTAAAATCCCCAAATTATGCTATTAATATTTGCTTCTGCAGGAATTTTTCATAAAGTTCCATTACAGTGTTATATTTGAAACTTCATTTCCCCTTCAACAGATGTATTTACAGCATTTAAAAGCTGTATATCCAAAAAAGTACCAAGTCTGCAGGTTAATTTCTAGATACATTTTCATCCTCCCTAGGAACCTTCATTTGAATGTCAGAAGAAGAAAAATGGTAATGGCTCTCTAGGTAAATATTGGGCACATTGTTCACTTTTCATTGTAAGCTACTTTTAGGACGTATTAGGTAGGACAGAAGTTGTAGAGTAATGAATTTTATCAAACTTTGTAGTTTTAAATGTAAAGACAACTTATTCAAAATATTAACTTGCTTTATTGACCTTTATTCTACAAATGGCACCCTGAATAATCTCCTTGTCTATGTGGAGTCTATGCCTACTTGGTCAGGCAGAATTAAAATTATATTGAAGCACTATGTAATTGTAATAATTAAAAAAAACTTTAAGTAAAACAAAAACTAATTTTCTGTATAGCTATTATCAATACGTAGCTATAATTTCATTTCCATTCCACCTTTAAAAAATTGAGGAATTGTGGTTTGGAAGTAGGTCCTCATTTGTTAAACATATTTTGAAGCTCATATTTTGTCAGTATATGAGGTAGTTTTCCAGCAACATTTTGGGTGCTGTTACCCAAACAGTGTGGTTTGGTGTGACACAGATTGGAGAACAGCCCCGTCATCCAGGAGAATCCCATGTTGCTCCAGGTGAAAATGCTCTTCTAGCTCTCCTGGTGGAATGAGAGAGAAGAGCAGTATGCAGGCAGCAGCCTTCCAGGGAGGAAGTGTAAATACCCAGTCTCATTGCTGTTCCATGTCCTCCCGTCTTAGCACCACTTAGCACCACGCTGGTTTTGGTGAACAATGTGTTGTTAAGTATCAACAGTTAGAAACCTAATTCTAATTTATTACATGTTTCCAAAGTATTGGTTAGGTTATTTTGTTATCATTTGGTTGACTAATTTTAATTTTTCCTATGAAGAATTAGGAAGCAACGGAGTCAGAAATAACAGCAAAAGGGGTAATGATGCAGAGATTATGAAGATGCTAAAGAGGTGCTAATTTCTCAAGTCTAAAAACAGAAACAATACGTAAAATTACCTTTGGTTCCATATTCAATTTTAAAAAGCCATTTTTGTTACTATCTTCAGTGTAGAGCAGGACTTATTTTGGGGAAAGTAAGAACAAACATAGGGTGAGGTAGGCAAATTGAGCCTTTCCATGAATATAGTCTAATAGAACTCAGAGTGTTCTCTAGATATTTCTAAAAAGTAAAATTTGATCCAAAAGCAAACCACATTGATGCAACTTGTATAAAATCAATTCTAAGAAGGTAAATGTCACAAATACTTGTGCTGTATTTTTTTTATAAGCAATGAGATAGAGTTCAGTGATAATTTTCTTAACACTTTGGTATTCATCTAAGTTCAGATCTCAATCATTTCAAAAAGTGACTTTCTCTGGAATAATGGTTTTTCTCATAAGGAGATTTCTGAATTAACTAATTATATATCTTCATTTTGATTAAACTTCAAACTTCTCTGAGCTAAGCCTTGTACTTTGGGTTGACAAGACATGCAGATTACTTTTTGCTATTTAATTTCAAGGATTCTAAGGGAAATCAGAACTTCTCTCTTGGAATTTGGAATGCTTTTTTTAGGCTGAGCAGAACTTGCTTGCTCCAAAGGAAATGTGCTATGTCAATGTAATTACTCTTTTTGAGAATGAAAGCAGGACTGGTGGGGGTGGGGAGTGAAAAATCTGAATCTAAGAATTGCTTTAGAAGGAATGTTTTACTTCTCATTGTAGAGTTATTTTGGCCCAAGTCTCAGTTTGAAGTCAATGTGAATTATGTTCAAATTTATACTGTTTATGAGATGAATATGTGTGAAAAAATAAGATCTGGCTCTTTAACTTTGACTTTTTTCTTACATTTTCTACTAAATCCAGTGAAGGAAAAAAGGAAAAAAAAAAAGGATAGCTTAGAAATACAAAGAACATAGCCGTTCCCAAACTTAGCTGCATATTGAAATCATCTGGGGATTTTTAAGGACTACTGGTGCCAGGCTTCCATTCCAAAACAGTCTGACGTAATTGGTATGAGGTGAGATCTTGGTATTAGAATTTTTAAAAGCTCTCTAGGTGTTTCTAATATGCAGCTAGATTTGGAAACCACTGTCCACGGGCACGTGAGGAGCTAAATGCAAAACAGAAAGCACAGAGCCTTTCAAGAACTTCAACTTCATGTTTGGAGCTTTGGATACCTGACTGGAGCTAACAGAACTGAAAGGTTACAAGGACTTTTACGTGATAGAAATTTACCTGATGTTGATTGGAATCTGGCCTGAGTTTGTATCACAGAACTCCATTAAAGAACTTTGGAAAATTATATGCATTAAATAAAAGTTAAAAAAAAAAAAAAAAAAAAAAGAACTGACCAAACTTTCAACACCTTTGTGTTATGTTTTCCTTTGAGTCCTGTAGAATTTTATAAGTGTCAAAGAATTTTCTTTTTAAATGAAAATTCTAGTATTATGACTCTTAAACCCCTGATGAAACTGGAACAGTAGTCAAGGTATTTACCATTGGACTTTGGAACAAAACAATCATTAAAAATTTGGCAAGAAAGTAGTGGGTTCTTTTCACCTCTCTTCTGGATCTGTCCCACTCTACTCCTACCCTAACCACCATCAAGTGTGCCTGTAGAAGAATCCAAGATTCTAGGGGATTTGTGCAAATAGCACCTTTGCTGTTTATGAAGAAACAGTTTGTAATCAGCAGTGATGGAGGCAAGGTCTACTTGTGACATCTTCAAGACAAATGGACTCAGGTATGGTTCAGCTGTCTGATACTACAAGTTTGTTTTAAAGGAAGGTAGAGGCTTTCTTGGCAGAGTTAATGTAGGAGAGTGAGAAAAGCCAAGGCTAAGGTCAAGTTAATATTCATTAACTGACTCTGAATGCTGGGTAGTGGTCCAGGATTTTGACCAAAGAAATAAGGGCAAATCTTCAACTTCTCTTGTTGAAAGGACTTCTCAAACAATTAGCTAAGAAGGGAAAAGTATCCTAAAGGATTTTCTCCAGACCTGACTTAACTTTTTATGATTTTAGAGATGAGCTGAGTGAGTCTGAAATGAAAGTAGATCAGTGTGGACAAGTCTAAATTTTTAAAATGAGAAAAAGTTATTTTGTGTTCATGCGGTTGTGTTGTGGGGATCATTGGTAAGGGTGTGGTAATAAGTGTGGGCTAATGAATTGAGTAAATATGGGGCCTAGATTTGTTTTAACCATGTCTGCAAAACCTCATATCAATTTCTAGGAATTCCTCAGGCACTGCAGGGGACAGGAAGGACCAAAAGGCCCCTTCACATTGATTTCCTTTAGGGCTACCATTCTCATTTCACAATTCTACACAGTGAGTATATGCTGTACAGTCTCAGGAAAGCATGCTTCAGGAAAGGCATGACATCACTAGGGGACTACGTTAGAGGTTTATTTCTTCTCTTTAGAGTTTTATGTCTTATTCTTAAATTAGAAGAAAGAGATCTTCAGAAGGCTCCATAGGCATCCCCTCGAGCAGTCACTGCAAAAGTAGGGTAGACCTCATAGGCTGTGTACGCTGCTAAGTCTTGTCCAAGTGTCACTGCTTGCTTGAGTTGGGCTGCAGACATAGGTGCGGTGGCGTTAGGGACAGCATATCCTGGGGGAGGAGGCAGAGAAAATTTCACGTAAGGATCCGATTTGCTCCCTTTGACTTACCATCCTCTTTGAAGATGACGGAAATGTAACATATTGCTTAAAGGTAAAGTGTGCTTTCAAGGAGGCACAACTGTAGACTGAAAACAAATGTTTTAAAGAAGGGAATTGTTTGGGAGACAGACAGAAGTGGTCTGCCATCTGTTGGTTCACTCTCCAGATGCCAGCATTAGCTGGGGCTTGGCCAGCTGATACCAGGAGGTGGGAACTCCATCCAGGTCTCCCACATGCATGGCTGGGACCCAACTACTTGAGCCATCACCTGCTGCCTCCCAAGGTTTGCATTAGCAGGAAGGTGGAGTCAGGAATTGTTACTGAAAAGGGAGCCTAGATACTGTTATTCGAGACACAGATGTGTTAACCAGTAGGCTAAATGCCTGATACAACTAAGTGATTTTTAAATGGCATTTGAAAAGACCTAAGACAGTATTCCTCAAGGAAGGGGAGGTCACTTGTGTCAGCATTCCTTCACACTTAGAGAATTAAAAACACGGGAGGCAGGATTCAAGAACCAGAATGCCAGCAGGGTGCAGGGTTGAGCAAGGCGTGTCATTTAGGACTTTTTCAGAGGCTCCAGAAATATGTGAGCAAGGGGAGGTGAGGCAGGGGTCGCCAGGACATGGTGGAGGGTGCTCTGTGGGGCTGGTATCTGGCTCTGCTGCAACTCCACACTGGCTAACTGAGACAAGAACATCCATTACTTTCAGCCAAGAAGGATGTATAGAGACTAGGTGGTCCAGGAAGGGCCACACTGTAAACTCTTAGTGTTTTTCTCTGTAACGCTGGAACAAGCAAAGGTCAGCCCATCTCCATCCAGAACCCAGCATGAACAGCAAAAGCACCACCTGTTTCTGATCCCACTATCAATCTTGTCCTGGGTGTCTGCAGAGGCCTTGCTGCCGGTCCTCACTCTCAGAGAACCAAAGGGGTTGAGTGATAGATGTCACGTGCGTCCCCATTAGCGTTAGCTAATGTACACTCCTGGAGAAGGCGTAATAGCCACAACCGACAGTAATATTTCCGTTAATGCTTTAGACTGAGACCTGGCTATTTCTGAGACTTATGAAAGATAATAAGCAAAAGTGGGAAGTATATGAAAGTAGCAAATGGGGCCGAGTTTCCTCTTAAACAAGCCCATTTGATTTATGTGCGGTGAAGTCTGCCCAACTCCAGACAAAGTAATTTTTTTTCTTTTTCCGGTGGCTTCTTAGAAGTGGTGGCAGGAAGCTGCCTGGACTGTTGTTTTATAAATTGAGTTCACTCCTAGGCTCATTCACTTTAGTCAGTAATGCTGATTAATGCACAAATGAAGTTTGCTATATATTCCAAGTGTATGACAAATGTGTTAACAATTACTTTCTTGATTTTGCAAACAGTATTTCTCGAGTAATATGAATATGAAAATATGTGCGTGCACGCAGCATAGATTTTACCCTTGGGGATTTTGATTTTTTTTTTCAATTTGGCCAATTTCTTAATTGCAAAGCATTTGTGTTTCAAACAGGTCCTTTCCTAGGAGTCCATTATTCTTTGTGTGGCTCCCCAGCCATGTTATAAGTGAGGCTCTCAGATTCTTATGAATTCCCAAGACAGCTGTCATGCCCTACATGTTTTTAACTTCTTGCAGGAGCAAATAGGAGTGAGGCTAAAACATCCCAATGAGAAAACCAACTTTAAAATTCTGACAGTGGATCATTTATTTTTCCAGTGAATTTGTTAGGTGTCATGGGGTGTAGCTTTTGGCAAAATGGGGGTTCAGGTTTCTCCAGGCACTGAGAAACCCTAGCATAGTTCTGAGTTGAAGGACACATGGCCAGCAAGCACAGGGGCAGTGTCAGCTGCTGCCTTGATAACCTCTCTGAGACTCACCACAGATGGTCTCCAGGCTCTTCCGGAGAAACAAAGGTAGAAGTGAGCGGGAAGCATGATTAGTTTTAGCCTGACTTGCCAGGATGGGAGATATAATCACAATTTTTACAAAATAAAACAGGGGTGAGCCCATGTGTCATGCATGTGAAGAATGTGAAAGTTCTCACATCTACACATGACCAATATATGAATTAACCAATTAAAAGGATTGCCATTTTTCTAGGTGTAGTCAGAACTCTCAGGGGCATATTAGGGGCGAGCTGAACACAATGACATGTCAGAATGGCACATTTCTTCCGTAGAAATAAATTTTTATTACTAAAAAAGAATGCAATTACACTAATTGCTGAGAACAAGTTTCTAATAGAACTTTCTTGCCTAGTTCTGTTTAATCTCTAGAGGATTCTTTTTAATGATTAACATTTTTAATTTTTTAACTTTTTAATTCTTTTTAATTATTAGCATTTGTTATGGGCACAAAATAATTGGGGAACAGTCTTTTAATAGGACTCATGAAGGCATGTTGGTTGCAAAATTTTTTCTTAAATTTTCACAAAGCAAAGTAAGGAAAGCAGATTGAAGGTTAGAACTGGGGAAGGAGCTCAAGGAATTACTTTAAAGCTGGTCGGCTTTGGCTGAGTCACTAATCCTTCCCAGACTCAGTTACTTCCTCTCTCTAATGGGATCAAATCTAACCTCTTGGGGGTGTCATGAGGATTATTGTGATACTGCAAAGCTTACTGAGCATTTAGGTGAGTGCTTAGCACAGAGTAAGAGTGCAAACAACCACCAGCTCTTAGTAGATAGACCCAAACTCTCTAAAATAAAAACCCAACCCTGTGCAAGCAAACCAGACTCAGGAGAATGAATTCTTTTTTTGACAGGTAGAGTTACAGACAGAGAGAGAGAGAGAGAGAGAGAGAGAAAGGTCTTCCTTCCATTGGTTCACTCCCCAAATGGCCACAGCAGAGAGCTGGACTGGAAGAGGGACAACCGGGACTAGAACCGGTGGCCATGTGGGATGCCGGCACTGCAGGTGGAGGATTAACCAAGTGAGCCATGGTGCCGGCCCCGAGAACGAATTCTTTTAAGACCATGCAGCTGCTGAAAGCAGAGCTGAGCCTGCAGCTCTCTTCTGCCCAGCTCATGCTTTCAGGATTCACACATCCAGCAAACTCTTCTTGGTGCACAGATGGTGGAAATCTGATTTATTGTCAGTGGCATTCACACACAGTTCTGTAAGACCACAGCACCAAGAAGGCTTTCCCAAACACTGCCTGTGGGCTGCCATTTCTGGCACAGTCTTCCATACCTGGGAAAACAGTAGCAGAGGCGGCAGCTGCGGCAGCGGCGGTCCCAGCGTCTCCTCCATCAGTGGGGATACCCAGGCTCTGCAGCGTGTACTCGGCCGCATAGTTCTTTGCTTCATCCACATAGGCACTTAACTTGGGCGGCGTGAAAGGGTGGCTGGAAGGCATATTCAGCGAGGATAGGCATTTTAGAACTTGTGTTGTGGAGTCAGGTGAAAACCTAATGCACTGCCAGCTTTGAAGAAGACTGGATGGTGGGATTTTGTGTGGGTATTTTTCATTCTCGTTGTTCCTAAATACATGTGCATCTAGAAACCATTGTGAATTGACCTAGAACACAGGTAGGCCATGATATTCCTGGGGCATGTGTGTAACTCACAACATGGCTTTTCCTAAGGTATATGTAAAACACAGTGGTTCCTAAAATACAGAGAAATGCAGGCTTGAGGTCAAAGTTCACAAGGTATTAATATGCAAACAGAATTGTCGTATCTTTGGTTCAAACCCTAAATGATGAAGCATGGAGTTATTCTGTATAAAAACGGGCATTTCGGTAGTTCAGATAGGAGAATGGGCCATGGGCCATGGTTTTCATGTCTGTTACCTTTTGTATTACCTAGTGCTTTCCTTCAGTTGTGGATACCACCACAGTCGTCACTGTGGGACTTGTAGATGCCAGTCTCATGGCTCACACATACATCCCAGCTATACATCTCAGTGTTTACATGCCTGACACGTGAGTAGCTAGTAGACTTGAGTGTTTGTATCACTGGACCAGGGACCAAACACACCCCGTTTACAAGTGCAGCTTATTCTACAATCGATCGGACTAGGAGTTGGGAGGAGTTACGCACATTGCCGGGTTCTGGTTGGCCAGGGCAGGGATGGTGATTTTGTACAAGAAGAGCTGCCTTTGGTCTTGTCCGATGGCAGAGTGAAGCTGGTACACAGGCTGCCCCCAGTTATTTTTCTGACATATTTCCTCTAATATCTACAAGATTTAAAAAAATGTTATTTTTTCCTTCAAATGTCACATTTGCATTATTTCTCCAGTTTTCAGGTTTTTAAACTTTGCATTTCAAAGTTTAAGCTAATATGAGAAGCCATAAAATGCTACATGGCTTAATGACTCATAAAATTTAAGTTGAACTCAGTCTGAACTCCATTTAAAATGTTTTATCTATTAGTTCATAAAAATCATTTTCACACCATTTACTCTAATACATTTTCAGCTTAGGCCATTAGCTGTAACTTTTTACTAAGAGCTTCATTTTATGATTTGTTTGATATATTTATTTCCTTAAAAAATTTATGTTCTAGTACTGTGTGGATAGATTTACTCATTATTATCCTTAATACCTCTGATTACAATGGTTTAGAGAAGATAGTCTAAGAATATATAATTTAATGTCATTTGTCAAAGGGTTTTAACCTCACATTTTCAGAAAAATACAGTTAAAAAGTTGGATGGGTTTGTATCTATTGGTGAGCATTAATAGATGGGTGTTGACAGTTGCACTTATTTTGCTGCTTTGGCAAGACACCGCTTCTGGCTATCTGTATAGTGATCTGATTTATAACATCTTCCTGCATGTTTATTTTTCTTCTGTAGTTACTCCAAATTGATCTTCTCTAAAGGCTCATCTTTATATACAAGCCCTTTTTGCTGGCCCAGAGGTCCTGATGTCCCCCTTGGTCAGCTGATTCAGTGTACTATGCAGAACAGGGCAGACATCTGGGAAAATAACTGGTGGCACTGAACGCTGCCCCAGGGTGTGCCTGGAGCTGCTTATCCCATTTGCCCTACCAGTAATCCAGCAGCAGTAGCGTGATATTTTTCCAGTTTATTATTTTGTAGATTGCTCCTATTTTTGCTATCATTTTTTTATTTTTAATACATTGGTTTGTTATAGCTGTTGTCATTAAACCATTATTTAAGTTTCATGAACAATAAAAAGTTAGCTTTTTTGGCAAAATAATAAGTAATAAATTAGCTTTTGCTGGTTCTACCTGCTTGTTTATACCAGGTGTGCAAATGTAGGCTAAAGGATCACCCACTCTAACTGCTGGCTTTGCAGGGGGTTTATAACCTTACTATGAGGTTGTTTAGGCCCCACTTGAGTTAACTGGGGTGGCTTGGTCCGCAATCTGTAAGCCACAGTTATCGGAATGGAGAGACAACTACAGAACTTTCACTAGTTTATCAATGGTTATATACTTTTTTAAAAAGATTTATTAATTTATTTGAAAGGCAGAGTTAGAGAGACAAAGAGAAAGAGAGCAACAGACAGACAGAAAGAGCTTCTATCTGCTGCTTAACTCCCCAAATGGCCACAGTGACTGGGGTCTGGCCTGGCCAAAGCCGGGAGCCTGAAATTGCATCTGGCTCTCCCAGATGGGTAGCAGGAATTCAAGCAGTTGGGCCTGTTTTCCTAGGTGCACATTAGCAGGGAGTTTGATTGCAAGTAAACAGCCAGGATTCGAACTGGCACTCATGTGGGATGCTGGCATCACAGGCAGCAGCTTAACCTGCTGTGCTACAATGCTCGCCCCAGATGACTACATATTTATATAAGGCATGATGCATTTCTAACTGAGTCTAATATAAAAAGCACAGGTCTTCATCATGTGATAGTAGCTTTTGTGATTATTACTTCTCGTTTTCTTAAAAGAATCCCGGTTGCTCAATACTTTTAAAAATTATCCATTAAACTTAATTTATTTGAAAGGCAGATTGATAGACGGTGAGGAAGAGATGGAGAGAGAAAGAAATCTCTGTCTACTGGTTCACTCCCCAAATGGTCACCACATCCAGGGCTGGGCTAGAAGCCTGAAACTCCAGCTGGATCTCCCACATGGGTGACAGGGTCCCAACTACTTGGGTCATCTCCCACTGCTTTCCTAGGTGAATTATCAGGGAACTGGATTGGAAGTGGAGCATCTGGAATTCAAACTGGGTATGGGATGCTGGCATTGCAGGTAGTGGCTTAACTTGCTACACCACAACACCAGCCCTATCTTAGCACTTTATTTACGAGTTTTATTTTGGGTTTTAACCCAAGAAGATTGGGTGATTTGGTTGTATAGTTTCTGAGCTAGCTCCATCACTGCACCTACCAGATTTTATTAGAATTACCTGTTTATATGTCAGTATTTTTCTTGTGGATATGATTTTTGATAGCAAGGATTTTGGCATATTGACTTTTAAATCTCCAGCACCTTGCACGATACATGGTGCATGAAAGAAGTCTAATCATTGTTTTTTGGACAAACAACTGATTGCTGTTTACCACTCTGATAGGTATTCTTTTTTAAAAAACAATAGCCTGGGTAGGGTTAACAAAAAGCTTAGATAAATTAATATGTGTGTAAAAGAAAGTCATTAATCTTCCCCTAAGATGAGCTTTTAGAAATTTAAATTTTCTTCTTGATTTCAATATAAGGACTACTATTCTTCATAGCTCTGAGGTTATTTGTATTTCAATAGATTAAGATTTTTACACTTTATAATTTTAAAAATCAAAAATATAGTGGAACAATGCCCAATACTTCCTCAAAGTACATCATGTTGATGGGCCACTCAAGAAAGCAACGCCCAAAATAGACCAAATCATTTGATGAAAAGTGAGTGATAGTTACTGATTCAACTTGAAGAAACTGTGTCTGGAATGACATTACCTACCTGGGGAGCAAGTTTAATTCCCTGAGGTTTTAAAGTGACAGGATTCATTGGGGTGAGCTCCATCCCAGGTAAAATGTCATAGAGTTTGTCTTCTCTCTTGTCTCCTTTCACCTGGTATCCACGACCCAAGCCTGTGTATGCCAAATAGCCGCGGCCGCCCAGTCCTCTCACTCCCGCAGCCCCTACAGGTACATTCATGTAAATTTCTAGGAATGTAAGAAGGCATTAAACTGAATCAAACCACCAGAAAATCACCCTGAATCTTACTGTAATGGAAAAGTTAGCCCAAGTCACATTGATTATTGCCCTGAAGATGGATAAAAATGCCAGGATTCTAATGTAATGAAACTCAACATAAGGTAAGGCTCACTATAGATGCTTCTTTCTCTTTTTTATAAACTAGCTATGGAAGAAAGCAATACCAGCAAAGCTAGCAATAAGTACATGAGCAATTAAAAAATTTTAGAGCAGAGAAATTTTGCCATTTATATCTTTAGTTAACTCTTTGTTGACATTTTTCTGTAGACTAAAAAAAATTGGGAATGTGTTTATTTAAACATCCCAATGTAGTATGATCACTTGTACTGAAATCTGTGTTGCCTAGAGACTGACACTAATCACTATGTCAGAAGTGAATTCTACCTCCCCCAATTATCCTCTCCACAATGACCTATTGGAAAGACAACATTTAGAAGCACGTTTTTAAGTTCACCATCCTCTCTTATGCTCTGTCAACGTGAGGCTTAAATTTCCATTGAGTTTCATGCATAGATTCCTTTTGATTTTTGTTTTTCCATATTGCTACTTCGATTACCTATTAGTGGTATAAAGAGATAAAAATTAAACTGATTATCCTTCATCAATATTATTCATTAATACTTTCCTTTCCCTTTAAGTGGTTTCCTTTTTTCTACATTACAACTGGTTGACAACTTATATTTAATATATGCATTGGTTAGTGACATGATTTTATATTATGTATGTGTAATGTTTCAGGAACATAATTTATTATCATATAGATGAATTCTCCTGAAGGAAATTCGGATGATTTCTTTTACACTACAATTTGGGGAAGAACAGTGATTTTATTTTGAGTTTGGAACTTCAAAGGCTGTTGATTACTAGAGCTCCTAGGTTGGTCAATTCAATTCCCCTGAAAAATATTAAAACAGGTAAATGGTTGTTTCTGTAGTGATCTGGATGTGTCCCTTTACTCCTAAGTCAAGCCAAAGAATAGATTTAAATATAGTTTGTTGCATTTCTGAGGTGGATGTTGCACTTGGAGATACAAGTAGGATTCTGTTGCCATTAGCCACATTGTAGAAAAACTATTCTGGAAGATAATACTAAGCAGAGACAAACCAATTTCTTGGGAATAAAAAATGCTTCGCTTATCTTCTACATTGCTTGAACTAACTGAGTTCAGAAAGCTGCTTGAATGTTTAGAATTCTTACAGATTTGAAACTTGAAATATTATTGTCTGGAAAACAGATTAAGTTCTTTTTTTCCATTTGGAGGATATTTAATTCCCCACATATTATAGATAAAGTTGATTTCCTCAAAGTTTGACTTTTTAAAAGGTATAATATATATTTACTGAGAGCTACCTTATGAGAACATATGCTGGTATGCTGTATTTATGATCATTTGTGACTTACTAGTATATATAAAGATAATGCCATTGAGTCATATGAAGTACATATGTGCCTTGAAATATTTTTGCTATTTGAGGTAATTGGTTTTCATTGGACCATGCTGCTCTTCCTTGGAAGCTTTGTAATGCATCACATATGATTGCAAGATGGTAGTCTAATAACAAAGAAGAAGCTAACAATAGTAGAACAGTAGAACTAGGTTTTAGTTGGCATATATTTTAGGGTATTCATGCAAAGATCAAGCTTGTACATAGACTCTTTTTCACTATATTCTGACAAAGTCTTTTCAATAACCAGTTGTAATGTAATCAAAAGAATCCTTTGGAATGAGAACTATTGATATGATATCTGATTTTCAACGCACAATTTCTCAGTGCTTTTCTGCCAGTGGACCCAACTCATTTTTCAAAGGCTATTACAGAATGAATCACTTATACACTTTTGGTTACTGTAAGGCTGGAGCTGACTGATGTTACCTCTAACAGAAGGGGCTCGAATAATGGCTCTGTTGCTGAGGTGTCCTTTGGTGGCTGGGAAGTGAAGACTGGGAATCGCCGCATAGGCCTGGGGGGCATAGAAGACAGGAGCTCCAAGGTAGGCTGCGGTGGGATCATAAACATGGCCCAGAGAGTAGGTGTAGTCTCCTTGCAGCATGGTGGCCCTTCCACCTGTGCCTCGGGTGTACCTAACATAACTGTCCTTGTCCACTGGTTTGGCTAGGGTCACTTCAATAGGAGAACCGTCCAGCACCTGTTGTGGAGAGCAAAAAGACACCATGAGAAGATCTGGAGACCAAGTGTGGCTGAGCCCTAATAACATGTTTCCTTCCAAGTGTTAGACTGTTTGCTGTGTGTTTACTGTTTTAGTTGTCTGTCTCTTGTCTCTTTACTGGTCTGTCTTTATATGCCAGTCAGTGGTTTCTCTGGTTTTGTTGGTACATTGCATAAGATGCCAATAGGTTTGACAGTGACATAGTGGTCCATTGACATATTGGTTATACATTTATAATCTAAATATAGTCATTGAGACAGAAAATTATGCAATATTTTCAATTATATTATTTGTTTAAAATTACATTGTATATAAGTAAAAGAAATTTCAGGTTCATTACGGGCAGACTATATCTCCATTACCTAGTCAGTAAAGTGAGGGTGAAAGCAAAACAAAGAGATATTCTGAAATATTATCACCTTGCAATGGCCAGCCTAATCAGACTTTTCCAGATGACAGCCAGCTAAATGTCTTAGTCCTCAGAGCAGCTGTACAATAAATTTCTCTTAGGGAAGAAGAGAGGCTTCAGGGGAGCTCTACTTAAGGAAGAGGAATCTCTGTGAAGCAAACTTTTAATTTGCTGAGCAGCTGGGAATTAATAAACCAGGATAATAAGGAGTAGGTGTGGCTGCGGGATCAGTACTGAGGTTTCTCAGGGCACACTCCGCTTAAAACTGCACTCAAGAATCACTGGAGTAGTTCCTCCCTAACACCAGTTTTTGAGATTGCTAACAGCTCCAGATGTTGAAGGCAGTGGCTGTGTGTACGTCTACACTCACAACTAACTTCTCCGTATTGCATGCCTACACAAGAAACAAAGATGGCTCTCGACAAGTACTTCTTATTAAAAGGAAAAAGCATTGATAGAAAACATTTGTTTCTTTTGAATGGGAATATGGTGAGCCTCTATTTTATATAAATAAAGGAAACAATAGAAAGTGTTTTTACACAAATTCTCTTTTCCTTCAGTTGAATCTTCACCATTGTACACATCAGACACTCAGTGGTTCCTGGATTATTGATTATTTCATAGTCATCCTGGCCCTTTGGTCAACTTTTGTAAGCAATCTGGCCATAGTTTCATTTGCCTGCCTTACTTTTTAATAGTAAGAGCCAGTGTCAAATACCAGTATATTAGATTGAACACACTGGGAGATAAAGTACAACTAGTATTTAACAGTCTTCCGTTGATATTGTTATAATTAGAAGAAATAGTCTTGGAATGGGTTACCTTGTATACAAGTTTCTTTAAATATTTAGTACTATCTTGGGGAAGATGAACAACTCAAACAGGTCTCTGGTTATAGGCATGTCCATCTCAAGAGATGGTCTGAGTGGAGCGATTCTTTACTGCAAAGTCAAATTTCTTAGTGTAAAGGGTTTTGTTCTGCATTCCTCTGCTCTTTCCAACAGTGTTTTAAACTCAGTATCATATTTTAGTTACTTGGTTTAGACATCTCAAGATCTAAGACAACACCTTATTAATCCGTATAACTCAAACCCACCAAAATTTCTTTCAAATCACAGATATTCATAAATATTTATAGAATAAGTGAATATTCATAAAGGTATGAAAAGAATCAATAATGGTCCAAAGCTCAATTCATCATATTTCTTTCTGGGTAGACTTCCTTCTCTGAGTTCCCTAACAGTCTCTCACATTGAAGACTTATAATGACTTGTCCTTTTTCACCCCTAACTCCAATCACTCCCAGGGTTCTTTGAGTTTATTCTGTGCAGTTCTGTGTAGAAGCTCCCTGCCATGTTCTATTCCCACCTTAGTTCTAGCCCTTATTTCATCCCATTAGGATGACTAGAATAGCTTCATAACTAGTTTCCATTACCTCTTTCTTCTTTCTCCCTGCTCTATAAAAAGTCAATTCTCTCAAGTTAATGTCTGTAAATTATAAATATAATCATTACTCTACTACTACACACACACACACACACAAATCTTCAAAGTCTGAGCTGGTCTGGTAAGTTGAATGCCATTATCCATATGGATGCTCAGAACCCTTCATGGGTCCTAGGAAAACTTGCTTTTGATTTCCACATACCACATTACAGTTAATTATGATATATAGAGTGTACTTACTACTAATAAATATATATTTTAATTTATAACATATGTAATGATTACCATAAAAATATTCAGCTATAAAAATTGCAAATAATTTGAACACTTTCCCACTGTCATTAACCAATGTAATGATTTAGCATTCAATTCACTATTGGCTGTATATTCTTCTCAGTCAGCAACATGTACACTCAGCAATGTTTCCAAATAGAGAAAATCTAACTTATAAGTTGTTTTCAAAGCAGCAACACTTTTTGTGATACCAAACTTAATAATCAATGAAGGTGCATTAATGTTTTGCTTCATATACATATATTTAAGTGTACATTATTTTTTCCTTTTGTGTTTCAGGGTCAGTAATGTTTTTCTCCCAGAATTCATTTTTGTAGGCCTCCATGTAGCTCATTTAGAAGGGGATTCCCTGTGTTAAAAGGGCTTTGCTGGTATGTTCACTTTGGCCTCCAGATCTACACCCCATTGGCTCTGGCTGCTCTCTGCTCTGGGAGAGTAGTATGCATGGGGTCTTCTTCAGGGTTCCCCAACCTTCTAGATTTTGATTGGATTTGGCCCATGGGAAACCTTGGCAGAAGATTGGAGAGACAGTGAATTAGGGCATTCATTCTCCTGCCTTGCTCTTTGAGAGGTCGCCTTGGGCTGGCTGTATCTCCTATCACTTTTCCTCTCCAAGGAACTGCTTCATAGAATTCTCTCCCCTTTCAGAATTCCTGAAAGTTTTCCAGTCCCTTGTGCCTTGTGTTCAGGAATGCTGTGTGCCTCAGGCTCCTATATTCCATATTCAGTTTTGTAATTACTTCCTTTGCTAACTGCTCTGTTTGTATCCTCCAGTTTTGTCTTACAGTTCCCCAATTCTGTGCCTCTTTAAAATTGCCTCTTGTAACCTCCTGAAGTGAAATGGACACTATGAGAAATGGTGACTTGATCAGCATAGCCCTGACTGCTAATGGACAACTTAATACATTATCCCTCATAGTATTTTTTTTTGTCTGTTCTACTTAATATGACTGGTTTAATTCTGTAATTATCACACAGTTATTCTTAAGTGTTGAAAATTAACTGAAATGTGATCCCTGTTAAACATAAGAGTGGGAATAAGAGAGGGAAGAGATGTATAATTTGGGGCATGCTCGGGCTGACTTGCCCCAATTGGTAGAGTTGGAAACATACCAGGGGATTCCAATTCAATCCCATCAAGGTGGCATGTGCCAATGCCATCTCACTATTCCAAGTGATCAATTTCAGTTCACAATTGATCATAATGAAAGGACTAAGAGTCAAAGGGAGCACATAAACAAGTCTAGTATCTGCTAACACTAACCGATAGAATAAATAAAGGGGAGAGTGATCCAACATGGGAAGTGAGATACTCAGCAGACTCATAGAATGGCGGATGTCCTAAATAGCACTCTGGCCTCAGAATCAGCCCTAAAGGCACTCGGATCTGGCTGAAAAGCCCATGAGAGTATTTCAGGCATGGAAAGCCAAGACACTCTGGCAAAAAGATCTCTGTGAGTGAGATCCCAGTGGAAAGAACAGGTCTTCAAAGAGGGAGGTGCCTTTCTCTGAAGGGAGGAGAGAACCTCCACTTTGACTATGACCGTGTCTAAACAAGATAAGAGTCGGAGAACTCAAGGGGCTTCCATAGCCTTGGAAACTCATGACTGGTGCATAGGGAGATTACTGATGCCATAAACAGGAGTGTTAATTTGTAAAGTCAACAACAGGAGTCACTGTGCACTTACTCCTCATGTAGGATCTCTGTCCTTAATGTGCTGTACACTGAGGCTTAATGCTATAACGAGTACTCAAACAGTATATTTCACTTTGTGTTTCTATGGGGGTGCAAACGATTGAAATCTTTACTTAATGTACACTAAACTGATCTTCTGTAAAAAAAAAAAAAAAAAAGAAATTATCAACTCCCAACTTGACTCTCACTGGGATTAAACATGACAATAGGTCTGATCTGATTTCATCATCATTTAAAAAAAATCATCTATTATTTTTCACTTTATGTTTCTGTGTGGGAGCAAACTGTTGAAATCCTTACTTAAGGTATACTAAGCTGATCTTCTGTATATTAAGATAATCGAAAATGAATCTTGGTGTGAATGGAAGGGGAGAGGGAGTGGGAAAGGGGAGGGTTGTGGGTGGGAGGGACGGTATGGGGGGGGAAGCCATTGTAACCCATGAGTCGTACTTTGGAAATTTATATTCATTAAATAAAAGATAAAAAAAAATAAAATTGCCTCTTGTTCCCATATTTTGTCTTTTGGAATTAGACCAAATTTTTATGGCTTTTCTTACATATATATTATCTTCTATCCATGACAATTTTCTGATTCTTTATAACTTGAATTTTTTTTTCACTTGTATCTCTTTTTTACAATACTTACTTTACTGTGCTTTGCATAGGTATTTGTACTTGTCTTGTTCCTCTGGCAGACTTCTAGCTCTTTGACAAGCACCTTTGATTTTCTTCTTTTTGTATTCTGGACATACTGGTAGGTAAGTGGCTTACCAAAGGTTTTTGATGTTTATTGGGTTGATATGTAATTCCATAGACAGATAAGTAGAAAGGATTTAAAAGTTGGTTTTTCTCCATAACCTACTCTTGACAAGGTGAGAGATTCTAATTCTTCTAGAATTTGAAGGTCAAACTCTAAGGACAATATAATATCTTGACATCTTTTCTCATGATCCACCTCTAAAATACTGTCATACAGAGGTGATCATCTTTTGAAGAAACAGAAGAAATGGAATTGGGGAAGACATCTTGAAATAATATACTCTCACCTTCTCTTCCTGAGGAAAGTGAGGGCCAGTAATTTGTCCAAGCCCAAAAAATGTAGAGGTAGAATTGGGGATATTAGCCCCATTGTCCTTTTACATCACTTCTTTATGCATCTTAAATGATAGATGCAGCAGTGTCAGAGATGGAGAAAGTCAGAGTAAGATAAACTCACAGGATTGTTTGTTAGAGTGCCCACCCCAAACTTGAATGGGACCTGTACCCATTTTTCATTCCCCCTGCATTACCTTTCCATTTAAAGCTTTCATAGCCTCCACTGCATCTTCTCGGTGACTAAAATGCACAAAAGCATAGTCTCGGATTTTCTTCACCCTCTCCACAGCTCCTGTAAATAGAGTGAAAGTAGCTTCATTAGAAAACTTGAGATTTTGCTGAAAATGCTACATATAATTTTCAAAGAGTTGAGACTATTTCAGGTGTCTGGCTTTAATATTCTACACATTCCACAGAAGATTGTGTTTATAATTTTAAAATAATTTTTATATTCTGAGATAATTATGGGCTGTGTTTTGTACTTCTTACATTAAAAGATTTTATAAGGTAGGAATGGTATCTTAGTTTACATCTTTTTTAATGTGAAAGATAGTACCTTATGTTTGACAAAATATTTGTTGAATGAATTGAACTCAATGATTGGTCATGCTATAAACATATTTAGAAATGATTAAATCCAAATTACAACAAGGCATCTTTAAAGAGAACAAAATGGGGTTGGTGCTGTGGTGTGCTAGGTTAAGCCTCCACCTGCAGTGTCAGCATCCCATTTGGTTAACTTTTGGAGTCCCAACTGCTTCACTTCCGATCCAGCTCCCTGCTAATGAGCCTGGGAAAATGGTGTAAGATGGCTCAAGTTCTTGGGCTCCTGAACCCATGTGAGAAATCTGGGAGAAGCTCCTGGCCCTTGGCTTTGGCCTGGCCCAGCCTGACCCTTGCAGCCATTTAGGGAGTTATAGCAGATGGAAAATCTCCCTCTCTCTACCTGTGTCTCTTTCTCTCTATCTATGCCTTTCAAATAAATAATCTTTTTTTAAAAAAATACTTAAATGGAAATATTCAAGAATTTCTATTACATTTTAAAGTTAAAAACAAATATATTATTATAGCATTTGTTTTTTAAAAATCCCAGTGTCTACATTTGCATACACTAATATAAATATACACACACAGAAGGAGAACTGAAAAAGTGAAGACCAAACTGTTTGTAGTGATTACTTCAGGAATACAAAGAAAAGTTAAGGAGAATGAAGACTTTTATTTAATTGATATACCTTTGTATTTTTTAAATAGTTTCTTATTTATATTTTATGTGTAAGAACTCAATCAACAACATTTTTATGTAGAGAAACTGCTATATAGATTGATGGCAACATGCAAAAATAAAAACTAAGATACCAGGATGATTGAATATTATATATTTAAAATATTGTTGCTTACTCAACTTTAAAAATAAACCTTTTGCTTAGAGTGAGGGTAAGATGAGACCTGGTTTATACACCATCGGTTTTGGGTTTTGAATGCCTATTGTCCCCTTTCAGCTTTCACTCATTTGTGTGGATCGTTTTTGTTTTGGTTTTTTTTTTTTTTTTTTTTTTTTTTTTTTTTGACAGGCAGAGTGGACAGTGAGAGAGAGAGAGAGACAGAGAAAAAGGTCTTCCTTTTGCCGTTGGTTCACCCTCCAATGGCAGCGCTGATCCGATGGCAGGAGCCAGGTACTTCTCCTGGTCTCCCATGGGGTGCAGGGCCCAAGGACTTGGGCCATCCTCCACTGCACTCCCTGGCCACAGCAGAGAGCTGGCCTGGAAGAGGGGCAACCGGGACAGAATCCGGCGCCTGACTGGGACTAGATCTCGTGTGCCGGCGCCGCAGCGAGATTAGCTATTGACCACGGCGCCGGCCTTGTGTGGATCTTTAGAGGTCAGATTTTCTTCCCTTAACCTTAGTTCCTAGAGATAACTTGGGAAGAAGCATTATGCCAGGGAGGATAAGAAGAAAAAGTCCTGTCCTTTCTTCCTTTTGCTGTCAAAGTTTAGTTATCCTTTTAGATTCAAGGACACAAAGGCAATTAGAGTTTCGACTCTACCTCCTGGTTCAGTGACCATGAATTATCTTCCTATGGAAAAATGGCAGGCCTTTAGTGTAAGGATCATTGAAAAAATTTGTGGTGCTTCCTTTTCTTTCCCCTAGCCTTCAGCCTTTGATTTGTGACAATGGTTATACAGAACAAAATTGTCTGGTCAAACTAAGACATTAAAGGTATCTGAAACTATGAAGCATGGGAAATGGAATGAATTTTCAGTATGATATCTTTATTCGTTTCAGTATCAGGGAAAGTGATTAGCGCAACTCAACCCCATTGGTAACTGGGAAGTGACGGTCAGCTGGTGGTCACCTCCACCTTTCCAGTCTTGGCTCTTACTTCAACACCACCCTCCACAGCAGCTCCCCTAGTTTGTTAGCACCCTTAGAACAGGATCTACTTCAGATGCACCTTGCAGTCATGTTCACCTAGTTCCTGCCTGGTGCCTCGGATATGAGGGACACTCAGTAAATGCACACCGAATGAGAGAATATTACCATTCAAATCACACTCCAACTTCTGTCATCCGCATTAGTTAGGTGGCATACCAGATGATAATGGATTTAGGTGTTCTGAAATTCTGCTTGCAGATACTTGCAATCATATTGTATTTTTGGGTGTTAATGTTCAGATTCACTTGCTTTTGGAAAACATAATGAAAATTTAACCTCATAAAACAAATTAGAAAGAGCTTATATCATAAATGTTGGTTTTCTGTTCAACACTATTCTCCACATGATTTATTTTATTTGTTTTTATTTGAGGGAGGGATGGAGGGAGGGAGAGAAGGAGGGTGAGAGGGTGAGAGGGAGAGGGAGAGAGGGAGAGGGAGAGAGGGAGCAAACTCCCATGTGATTCACTTCTCAAGTGCCCGCAATGACTGAGGCTAGCCAGACCAAAACTGGGACCTAGGAACTCAATCCAGATGTCCCATGTGGTTAGCAGGGGTTCAGCTACTTGATCTATCACCTTTTGCCTCCTAGAGTACATATTAGCTGGAAGCTGGGATGGGGAATAGAGTCAGGACTCAAACCCAGGAGCTCCCATATGGGATGTGGGGAACCCACCTGGTGGCTTAGCCATTAGGCAAAACACCCACCCCATGTGGCTTATTTTAATATGTTCCTTCTTCAGTGCACACTGTGTTTTGTTTGATAATCCCCAAGCAGAAGGAAAGGTCATGGACTATCAGTGGTCATGATTAATGGAGCATCCATCAGCAAAGAAGAAAGTCCTCTGAAATCACCATATTGTGAATCAGGAAAAATATTACTCTGCTCACTACCAACTTGTCAGCAGCACATCAGTTTCCTAAAGGCAAACACTCCTGGGTGCCAAAAGGAGAATTACCAGAGGGTCCTGGTTCTCAAAGGGTGGCCGCCTGACCAGCATCGTCAGTTTTACCTGGACTCAGCCGAAACATAGACACTTGGGCCTGCCTGAGACGGGGCAAGTCCTCTGTGTTTTAAGAAGCTCTCCAGGTGAGTCTGATGCTGCTAAACTGTTACAGTAAAAGCAGGTTCTGTAGAACGACTATAATTGGAACTATAGCAGATACCCTTAGGCTACACTGGGGAAGAACCTACATTTTCTGGCCCCACTTTCTGTTCTGATTGTCATTTGTTTCTGTGAGTGCCAATATATATTTTTTTCCAGACTAATCAGTGTTACAATGAAATATAGTCAAATATTTCCAAGAATAACTAGGTTACCAGCAGGATCCAAACTTTAAATAGAATTTTTAAATGTTATTTTCTTATTGCCTCTCAACATTTTTCTAGGGAACTGTAGCCTCCTTGAATACATCCTTTTCACTAGAATATAATCTCATTAGCTCTGACTTTTCTTTCTCAATGCAGCCTATATCTGATAGCTGTTTAGCTTGTAATTCATATTATTTTGCAGAATGCAAAAAAAAAAAAAAAGAATAAGCTACACATTATAGAATCCAGAGAACTGTGCCACCAGCCTCAGAATTTGCCCTTCGGTCAACTAAGATGCACTTTAGGTTCAGGAAGAAAAAAGAGGGAGAGAGAGAAACATATCTGGCGCTCATTATTTTCATTATTATGAATAGAGTCTGGGCACATGTCCCCAATACAGATTGGGAAAACCGATAACCTGTGACTATGAAAGGAAGTAGCCTGTTAGGAATTTCCCATTCTAACCTTTTCTCAAAAGAGGCATTGTTTTAATTAGATAAAAATAGAAAGTACAGGGGCCAGTGTTGTGGTGCAGTGGGTTAAGCTGCCACTTACAATGCTGCTATCCCATATCAGGGTGCTGGTTTGAGTCTCAGCTACTCTGCTTCAAATCCAGCTTCCTGCTAATGTACCTGTGAAGGCAGTGGGGAGTGACCTGGGCACCTGGTCCCCTGCCTCCCATGTGGAGCCAAGGATGAAATTTCTGACTTCTGCTTCAGCCTTGCCCAGACCTGGTTGTTTTGGCCATTTGTGGAGTGAACCAACAAATGGAGGACCTCTCTCTGTCTCTCTCCCTCCTCCTCTGAAACTCTGCCTTTCACATAAATAAATAAATCATAAAAAAGAAGTACTGTTGCCTCTGAGAAGATAGAAAATCAATACAATTGGGGAGAGGATGATAGAATTCTATATATATTAAATATTATATGTGTTATGTATATTATTTTAATGGCAAAGAGAAATACAGAGATAGTCCATCCACAGCCTCATTCCCCAAATGCCTACAATACCCAGAACTAGGGCAGCCTAAAGTCAGAAGCCCGGAACTCCATTGGATGGCAGGCACCCAAGCATTTGGGCCATGATCTACTGGCTCCCAGGGTTCACATCAGCAGGAAGTTGGACTGGAAACAGATGAGTTAGGACTCAGTTCAGGCACTTCATAATGGAAGTGGGAGTCCCAAATGGCACCTGAACCGTTTTTGCAAACACTGGACCCACATGGAGCAATGTTTATATATACGTACATCAGTTTGCAGCCTTGCAACTGCATCTTGTTTCAGATCTCAGCTTCCAAGTAGATGAAGTGTATTCTTAGACAATTTTAAGTGATAGCACCATGGCTCCTGCTTATCAACAACCTAGAAAGTTGGCTGGAGAATGAGCAATTCTATTATGGAAGGATGTTACCACTAAGATAAACCTCGGCCAGTATTGCCCAGTGTGTATTCTAAAATACACAATTCCCAAAATTGGTCTGCCACAAAATAGAGTCCAAGCTCCAAAAATTTGGGAAATGAGGCATCCTATCCACTGAAAACTTTTAAAACATGTTAGAAGATTAAAGACTGATAAATCTCACAATAAAAAATTGGTTTAATGTTTTGGAATTTGGTGTTTATGAACTTACTTGACTATGGAGCCCTTTTAACAGTCATATCTACCAAGAATTAGTTACTGCCATAATAATTGTTATCCTGGTAGCTCAGTCAGTCCAACAAATAACTGATGTTCTCAATTGGTTTGGGGAAACACATTTGGGCACTGTTTCTCAAGGTGCTTCCCCAGGCTCAGGGCTGTAGCTTTCATTTGGAGAAGAAAGAAATAGGAGGTTCATCTTATGACTGAGAATTGATACAGAAAACTTCTGACAGGATGAGTAGGAACTAATTGCTCCCTTTCGCTTTCCTTTCATTCCTTTTCTTTCCTCTTCACCCAAATGCATTTCCTAGGATTAATCACCACCTCCTTACTCATGTACCTAAGGCCACATACATGTTATATTAGACCCATGGTTCTCAATTGGGGTCAGTTTTACCAACCCTTAGGGCATAATAGGGGACTTCAAAAAGTTCATGTAAATGTATTCTATGAAAAAAACTGCATGGAATTCAAAAATTTTTTGTGACAAAATCAGCATCTAATTTCATTTTCCATGAACTTTTGAAGTTTTCTCATATTTGGTAATGTCTGGAGATATTTTTGGTTTTGACAACCTGGGGATTGCTACTGGTCTCTAATGGGGAGGGTTCTAGCCTGCAGCTGACCTTCCTATGATCCAGTGGACAGCCCCCTACAACCAAGAATAATCTATCCTTAAAAGTCAGTAGTAAAATTGAGAACTCTCTATTAGACCTAAAGTTACGGCGATGCATTCATTACTGCCGTAAATACTTACTGAGCATTTATTTTCCCCCAAACCCAGAGACTGAGTTCTGAGACTAAAGAGACAGTAAGAAAAAAGAACTCAGAGGATTTACAGTTCAGTGAACAATAATCACTCATCTAAAATGTAAAATTATCAAAATAATTTTAATAAGTGTTATGATAATAAGTGTTGACATTATATAAGATTATCATATTGGTAACTATAGTACCGAGTGTCCCTTTTCATAATAGAAAGACAGGAGTATTGTCTGGGTCATCTGCATGCAATAATGAGAATGAGCTAAATAGAAGTTATCCTAGTTGAGTTACAGGAAGTCATCTCAAGCATCAGTGCTTTCAGAGCATGTCTTACACGTATGTCCTACCTGGTTTAACATTGTTGAATTCCTTTTCAATCATCTCTTCTGAGGTAGATAGCATCAGATTTCTTACGTACAAGATTTTCACTAATGACATCGTGTCTTCATCAACTTCTACTTCTGGCTCTGCCCAATCTACTGCAATAGGATGTCCCCATAACTGAATCCTTCCTGTTGAAAATGATAACAAGTATGATGAGTTATGTATAAATTATCACAATATCTCTGTTGAGAGTGATGGCCTTTTAAATCGAAGGGACCCTTGAGATCTTGGAAGAGCAAGACCATTAAGGAGCTGATTATTGATTTAAGAGACATACCAACTAAATCTGAGACGTGGTTAGAAGTTCTATGTGACCAGTGGCTTATTGTAATGATTGTGTAGAAAGGAAGTAGGATGTGGTTTGAAATGGAGCAGAAGAGAGGCAGCAGTGGGCATGTGTGGCTCTTAGGACACTCTCACGTGGTGAAGGTCACTGTTCAATGTGAGATTGCAAAAGGGGAGAAAGACAAACAATGGATTTAGAACTCAGACATAGTGTCTGATGCCATGAAACATTAAAAAGGTCACTAGGAAGTGTTTCTGCTGCAGCTGAATCTGTTTTGTTGGTCACCAAAGAGTGATGCTTGGGTAGGGATGTCCCTCAGACATGCCTCAGACATGTTCATGTCCTAACCCTGTATCAGAACATGGGTGGCTCTGAAATCTCAAGAAAGTAAATGCTTTATTCAGATTAAGAAGAGAGATGAACAGCAGAAGAGTATATGATGTGAACATCTAACTATTTCTAAAAAGGTGGTTGCTATCATGACCACATATATATTTTATAGTTCTATAATTATAATTTCTGAGTGTCTTGGATTATGTGTTTCCCATTTTCTGTCTCAATTCCTTCCCACAGCAACCCTGTGAGGAGGGGAATGAGTCCCACTTTGACAGAAGAGAAGACAAACTTTAGAAAGAATAACTTGCCAGACCTGACTCACTTCAGCACTTCTCCCTTTGATTTTTGTGACCCACTTCCTATGCCCCTGCAGGAGACCCATGTTCAAGTAATGAGTGTAGGGTAGGAGTCAACGCAAGTCTGAAATTTGATGGGAAACCATTTGTTGGCTTTTTAAAATTAGTTGTTTGGGAACAAGCTATATCCTGCAAACAACACAAAGCCTGAGAGAACAAAATCAGGCATTCTTAGTGTTCAGTTGTTATACATGGGAGGCAATTACTTTCAATCAAAATGTGTATTTTTACTCCTTGAAAAGCTGTCAATGGAAGCACCTGTGCCCTGGCATTCTAAGATCCGAGTGAAGAACAGACACATCCTAACCAGTTAGTGGATTTCAGGAGGCGGGCTCTTGGTATCCCAGCTGCCACTCTTGCTTCTGCATTGCTTCCCGCGAGCTAGGTTCCTTCAACACTCTCTTCCTTCCCCTTCTCCCCCTCCTCTCTCAATCCTTCTCTTCCTTTCCCCCCTATTCTTTACCTCTTTGTATGCCTTCCATAGAAATTTCTTATCCCAGGACCCTAAGGCTCCTGGGTAAATCTAGTTTCTGTAGCCCAGTGGTTCTTTAACATTTGCTGAGCTTAAAAAAAAAAAAATACTAAAGCTTGGATTGCATCCAATGGTGTGCCAAACCCACTTACTATGCACCTGCAAGAATAGACTTACATTTTCATATTTTTTTATTTCCAGCTTTGTTAAGGTATAATTGACAAATAAAAATTATATACATTTACTATGTACACTATGATTTGGTCATTGTGAAATGAGTAAATGAAGTTAATTAACATATCTATTGCTTTACATACTTTTTTTTAATGTGATGAGAACATTTCAGATATACTCTGTTAGCCATGTTACATGTATAACACTTCTTCATTAGCTCTACTCACTAAGCTGTACAACTGATTTCCAGAACTTATTATCCTAATTAAATCGTTGTGCCCTTTGGTCAATAGTGTCCATTTTCCTCAACCCAGACCTTGGAAAAAACCATTATATTCTACTTCTATGAAGTCAGCTTTTTCATATTCTACAAATAAGTAATATCATGCAATATTTGTCTTTCTGTTTCTGACTTATTTCACTTAATGTCTTCCAGATGCTTCCATTTTGTTACAAATGACAGAATTTCCTAATTCTTAAGGGCTAAATAGTAGATTCCACCATAATTAATAAATAAATTCACTGAAGTTGTAGGATATCAAATCACCTTACAAATTCAGTAGTGTTTATATTCACTAACAATGAACTATCTGAAAGGAAATTCAAGAAAACTCCCATGTTCAATACCTCTCTTCCTCAGATGCTTGGGTGTAAGTTTAATCAAGAAGATGAAAGGCCTATACTCTTAAAACTATAAAATGTTGATGAAAGAAACTGAAGAAGAAACAAATAAATGGAAAAATGTCTCATACTTATGGATTGAAGGAATTAATGTTAAAATCTCCACATTGCCAGCGCTGTGGCTCAACAGGCTAATCCTCCGCCTTTCGGCGCCGGCACACCGGGTTCTAGTCCCGGTTGGTCATCGGATTCTGTCCCGGTTGCCCCTCTTCCAGGCCAGCTCTCTGCTGTGGCCTGGGAGTGCAATGGAGGATGGCCCAAGTGCTTGGGCCCTGCACCCCATGGGAGACCAGGAGAGGCACCTGGCTCCTGGCTTCGGATTGGCGCGGTGCGCTGGCCGCGACGGCCATTGGAGGGTGAACCAACGGCAAAAGGAAGACCTTTCTCTCTGTCTCTCTCTCTCACTGTCCACTCTGCCTGTCAAAAAAAAGTCCACATTACCTGGAACAATCAATCTGTAGTTTCAATGCAATCACTAACGAAATTCCAATAATATTTTTAAAGAAATTAAAAAATAAATTCTGGAATTTGTGTGGAACCACGAAGTATTTTAATAAAAAAATAAGAAAAACAAGAGAAAGAAGCTAGAAGCTTCATACTACCTGACGTCAAAATGCTCCACAAAGGTATAATCATCAAAACAATGTTTTGATGGCAAAACACAGGCATATAGACCAGTGGAACCGAATGCAGTTCAGAATCAAATCCATGCAATTATAGTCAACTGATCTTTGACAAAGTTGCCAAGAACACATGATGCAGAAAGAAGAGTCTTGTCAATAAATAGTGTTGGAAAACCATCCAACATAAAATTAGATCTTTATTTTATACTATATAGAAAATCAATTCAAAATGGATTAAAGCCTTATATATAAAACCTGAAACTGTAAAACTGCTAGAAAAAAACAGGGAGAAGGTTTCTTGACATTGGTCTCAATGGTGATTGTTTTTATTTATGACTCTAAAAGCACAAGCGGCTGGCGCCACCGCTCAATTGGCTAATCCTCCGCCTTGCGGCGCCGGCACACCGGGTTCTAGTCCCGGTCGGGGCGCCGGATTCTGTCCCGGTTGCCCCACTTCCAGGCCAGCTCTCTGCTGTGGCCAGGGTGTGCAGTGGAGGATGGCCCAGGTGCTTGGGCCCTGCACCCCATGGGAGACCAGGAGAAGCACCTGGCTTCTGCCATTGGATCAGCGCGGTGTGCTGGCCGCAGTGCACTGGCTACAGCGGCCATTGGAGGGTGAACCAACGGCAAAAGAAGACCTTTCTCTCTGTCTCTCTCTCTCACTGTCTACTCTGCCTGTCAAAAAAAAAAATAATTAAAAAAAAAATAAAAGCACAAGCAATGAAAGCAAAAACAGAAAATTGGATTTTATTCAACTAGAAAGATTTGCATAAAAATGGAACAAATCAACAGCACGATGAGATAGACATTTATGAAAAGAACATAGATAAATGGTCAACAGATACATGGAAAACTGCTCAACATCACTAATTGTCAGAGAAATGCAAATTAAAAACAACAATATGATATTGTCTCACACTGGGTAAAATGGCTATTACCAAAGAGACAAAAGATAACATGTACTGGCAAGGATATAGAGACATCAGTTGTACACTGATGATGAGAGTGTTAATTGGTATAGCCTTTAAGGAAAGCACTAGGAAGCTTTTTCCAAAACCTACAAATAAAGCTGCTGTGTGATCCAGCATTTCCACCACTGGGAATGCATCCAAAGGAAATGAAATAAGCATATTGAAGAGATATCCACTCCCCCATGTTCACTGAAACATTATTCACAGTAGCTAAGACATGGAATCAACCTATATGTCCATCAACAGAAAAATGAATAAAGAGATTTTCACAACTTTGTGGCTCAGTTTCATCACATGGGTAGTCTGAAATAAGCCACAGTGGGAGTGTCAATACCATGGAAATCGGCAAATGCTATACATCAAGACTTTTGGTTTTCCCTGGTGAGCAGGCTGTAAAGATTTCCTGGCTCATTGCTGACCCCTGGACTGTCCCTCCCAATGGTAGGATCAGTGGTCTGGGCCTCGGGGTTTTCCAAAGCGCTTTAGTTCATGCTAACACCCAGCCCATGTTGAGTAGCAGTGCTCTAACTTCGGCCTTCCCCGCCCTGTGCTATCATCAAACACACAGGCCTGAAGAGCCACCCACGACTGGAGAGAAAAGAAATGCGAGGTGGCTGGAGAAGCAATTTCTATTTTTTTTCTAGAAACATCCCTGTAAAGGTGTCTAGTGGAAGTCAGTGAAACAGAGGGATCGGAGAACACTGGATTTTGGACATCACAGCAATGATCCTGGCTAGAAAACATATCATTTCGAAAGAAACACTAATTCTCTTTTCTGTGAAATCAAGATAATAAAAGCACCTAATATTGTTGTAAAGGCATAAAAAGATGATGCAAATAAAGGACTTAATACCTTGTAAGTGATGATTCAATAATACATTCTTTTAATATATCTATATGTGTCTATATATTTGGCTTGTATGTGTAGCTTCTAAAGTTATGCACTCTTGGCGTGCCATGGATAGCTATTATCCTTTATTTAAGAAAAAAATCTCATGTTGGGGTTGGTGCTGTGGTGTAGATGCCGCCTGCAGCGCCAGTATCTCATAAGGGGGCCAGTTCGAATTTCGGCTGCTCCACTTCCAATCCAGTTTTTTACCATGACTTGGAAAACCAGTAGAAGATGGCCCAAATCCTTGGGCCCCTGCACCCACGCAGGAGACCTGGAGGAAGCTCCTGGCTCCTGGAATTGGATCAGCCCAGCTCCAGCCATTGGGGCCATTTTGGGAGTGAACCAGCAGATGGAAGCCCACCCTCCCTCTCTCCCTCCCCCCCGCCTCTCTGTAACTCTGCCTTTCAAATAAATAAATAATAAATAAATCTTTTTTAAATAAAAAAACTCATGTCATTTAGAAGAGAGCAACATATGTTGTAGATACTTAATAAATTTTTACCCCACTGAGTGGTCCTCTGTTCTGCTCATGTCCCATGCAGGTTGAATGCCCGTATAGATAGATTTAACAAAGCCTGGCTGCAAAGTGGAATCCTCTGTAAAACCTAAAACACCAGTACCTGGTCTCTAAACCCCAGAGAAGACGACTCAATTGAGTAGAGACTGACGTGGTTCTGGCAGTCTTTGAAAACATCTTCGGGTGATTGTAACATGCAGCCCCAGTAACCGTTGATTTTGGTCATGAGTTCTCAGATGTGTGAGCACTTGCATTATTACACATGGGAATTATCCAGCCCCACACCAGACCTGCTGAATCTGGAACTCCATTGGAAGAGCCCAGCAACCTGTGCTTTAACAAGCCCTCCAAGTGGTTCCAATGCAGCTGGAAGCTGAGCATCATGGTAGTTTCTCTCTCTCTCTCTCTTTTTTAATCGGAGCATGCTCTGAACTGAATGGAATGACTTTGTCCCTTACACAGCTCAACAAAGAAGATGAGATTTATGAAGACAGGAAAGCTGCTCTTAAGAAAAGAGGTGGGGCCGGCACCGCGGCTCACTAGGCTAATCCTCCGCCTTGCGGTGCTGGCACACCGGGTTCTAGTCCCTGTCGGGGCGCCGGATTCTGTCCCGGTTGCCCCTCTTCCAGGCCAGCTCTCTGCTGTGGCCAGGGAGTGCAGTGGAGGATGGCCCAAGTGCTTGGGCACTGCACCCCATGGGAGACCAGGAGAAGTACCTGGCTCCTGGCTTCGGATCAGCGCGGTGCCGCGGCGGCCATTGGAGGGTGAACCAACTGCAAAAAGAAGACCTTTCTCTCTCTCTCTCTCTCACTGTCCACTCTGCCTGTCAAAAAAATATATATATATATATATATATATATATATATAAAGAGGTGGGTAACTTGTGAGCAGGGACATCACTGTAGACAGTGGTTTTCTGTCTTAAATCTGAATCCGTAAGAAGGAAATGCTTCTTGTGGTCTTTGCTTATCACCTTTTTAATGATACCATTTTTTTAAAACTAGGCTCTCCCGAGGGCTGCCAACTACCAAAGTTCTTTGTTGTCATTGAGTCTACTGTGGAGTAACAGAGCAACCCAATTGGGAAACCTACTTTGTTCTGAGTTCTTCTAAGTCCAACAGTTAGCTCTGACCGGTTCACTGAGCCTGTGTCTCCTCTTGGTGGTTGCTAATGACATACACCTGAGTAAGACATACAGCTGAGTGAAACCCAACTGAGGCAGCTCAAAGGACCATGGTAAGGGGATTTGCTTTGGTGATAGCAGTGGGAGTGAGTGGGGAGATGAGGTAGCATCTCTATGGCTGGCTCGGACAAGGAACGTATAAAGAAGTATCAGGGACGAGGGTGGAAGTGCTTGTAAACGTTTGAAGTGCTGTTGCTGAGCCCTGTCTGACCTACCCAGCTCGGCTCCCAGAGAAGCAGCAGCTCTCCCGGTGGGGGTCCACGTGCGTTCTACTCTGAACAGACAGGGGCGCTTCAGGAGGTGCAGTCTCCATGAGCACTGATTATGGACCTCTTTCCCTGAGCTGATGCGGACACTATGAGTGGCAGTGGGTTCCTCAAGGAGGTCGTGGCTGAGCTGCGTGAACACTGTGCGTGAGGGAGGGGCAGGTCTTCTAGGTAGAGAACACAACATTTGGACAAAGCAGGCAGTTGTGAGCATGGTGAAATCTAGGGCAGTGAGGAGTCTGTCCTGACAGCAAGGAGGTTTTTTTTTTTTTTTTTTTTTTTTTAAGATTTATTTATTTATTTGAATGGCAGAGCGAGAGTGAGTGTATGTTTCCATCCACTGGTTCACTTCCCAAATGGCTGCAATGGCTTGGGCCAAGCTAGTCCAAGGCCAGGATCCAGGAACTCCTTCCTGGTCTCCCCCATAGGTGACAGGAGCCCAAGTACTTTGGAACATCTTCTGCTGCTTTCCTGGACACTTTTTGCAGGGAACTGGATCAGAAGCAGGCAGCCAGGCCTCGACTTGAACTCTAAAGTGCGATGAAGGTGTCATAAGTAGCAGCTTAACCCACTGAGCCACAAGGACAGGTCCAGACAGGAGGAGGTGGTGGTAGTGGGGATGGAAGGCAGTGAATACGGTCATAAAGAACTGGGGGCATGAATGGAAGTCTTTGAATAACAAGTGCAGAGTTTTAGTTCCTATCTCGTATGCAGGGAGGAGGTGGTGACTATATTTGAACTGGTGAGTGAATGACACCATGTAGCCTGCCTACTGTTTACAAGAACTTGTTGAAAGGGTGATAGGATATTTCAGAAACGTTACTCTGGTGGTGAAGTACAGGATGGAGTAGGGAGAGGGTGGGATACATCAGAGATCTAACAGTGCTGGGTGAATAATTAGGAAACTTTAAAATAAAGTTTAGAATATACATGTTTAGAATGGTGGCATGAGAACAGGAGATGGATACAAAGGACTTTCAGTGGCAGAATTACTGGTGTTGAGGAGAGGAAATTTGAAGAGAGCAAAATCTGAAATCTAGGGAAGCGAGAGACAGACAGGCATGCCCTGTGACCAGTGTCAGGGGATTTACCTGTGGGCGGGCCTCTGAGTCACCACTGGGAAGTGCAGAATGAAGAAGTAGCAAATGGCAGCTTCAGATTTTTTTTTTTTTTTTTTTGACAGGCAGAGTGGATAGTGAGAGAGAGAGAGAGAAAGGTCTTCCTTTGCCATTGGTTCACCCTCCAATGACTGCCATGGCCGGCGCACTGTGGCCGGCGCACCGTGCTGATCTGATGGCAGGAGCCAGGTGCTTATCCTGGTCTCCCATGGGGTGCAGGGCCCAAGTACTTGGGCCATCCTCCACTGCACTCCCTGGCCACAGCAGAGAGCTGGCCTGGAAGAGGGGCAACTGGGACAGAATCTGGCGCCCCGACCGGGACTAGAACCCGGTGTGCCGGCGCCACAGGTGGAGGATTAGCCTAGTGAGCCACGGCGCCAGCCTTTCAGTATTAAAAACATCCACCTCTCTAATAAATGGAAGTTTTTGGAACCATCTCATTTTTTCACCTTAGGCTGACTTCATGAAAATATTCTCAGAATATCTTCCCCAACCTCAGCAAATTTCTAGGGGCTCGTGCTATATCACTCGCATCTTTAAAAATGAACACAAAGGCAACAAAAAATCTAAATGTTTTTGGTGGTGGTGTCTTGTTTTTAATTTTGGTTATATTCCTGCAGTTTTCATGAGGAAGTTGATCCCAGTGTGTTCAGTCTGTCATTCTTGAAATCTTCTTAGTTCAATATTAGTTCATTTTAGCCCCCAACTTTCTGTAATTTTTACTGTTTTAGAATGAGCCAAGGACTTTCATGAAATGATTTCTCCTGGGTTGATCTGAGGCTGTGTCTTGGTAGAATCATTTGAACGCAGGAATTGATGGGTTTTGCTGAAGTGAGACCTGCCCTGTGTTGTAGCATTTAACAGGGGTGCTTTTCAGAGAAGAGCTGTTATTTCTCTTCTCTCAAATTAGACAGAAATTATCACACTTGAGGGAGTCATATTAAAGGTATATCACTTAATTGTCATTGAGATAATTTATCACTTGAGGTTTATTATTTCTACATCTTAACAGATAATATACCCTTCTTTTAATAAGCCTCTGAATAAGATCTATGTGCAAAAATAATCACGATTGATATATTTAATTTTAAGAAGACTGTTCACTTTAAGTATTCATTAAAAGAATGCTGTAGCTTAAGCTTCTGGGTTTCTCCCTTGCATATAAATTAGGCTCAGTGCACAGAATGATTATTTCTTCAAAACAGGGTTTGTGGAGACTTCAGGGACCTGAGTCAGTACGAAAGAAGAAGAGTTTAATATGCAGCATATCAAAGATGCAGAGCGAGGAGAAACACAGGACAGCAAACGGTTGTCATTTCTGCCAGGAGCCCAGCAGCCCGCGGCGGGCAGTTTGGAGGGGAGAGGGCTCATCGTGGAGTGGGGGCTGCTGACCTGGTAGCAGTTTCCTCCTCGCCATGGCAGCTGCCCGGTGACTCTCATACTCCACAAAGGCAAAGCCCCGGTTTTTGGTTTTATCCGCAGCACTTGGGTAAACAATGACATCAACCACGCCTTCGGTGACCTTCTTCATCTCCAATAAGATTTCTTCTCTCTTTTTGGTTTTTGGGATCCCACCAACAAACAGTCTGCAGTTGTCCACGCTGGCACAAACCCCTAAGAGACGGCCGTTCCTGCAGAAAGAGCAGGTATTCTGATTGGCGAGAATCCTGGTGTGATTCAGGTTTAAGGCAAAGGTTAAGGATGTGTGCCTTTCAGACCAGATGTGGCTTGCAGATGGGGAATGTGTGGCACATCCCAAAGTTGAGGCAACTTTTGAGAGATTAGAAGATGTGTAAGCATGGGCTTTATGAATCTTTTAAAAATATATTTATTTGAGAATCTGATAAACAGATACAGATGGATAGACAAGGTACTGCCAAGTGCTAGTTCATTCCCCAAATGCGCACAATGGCCAGGGGCAGGGACCCTGATGTTGGGAATTGTGAACTCAATGTCCATCTCCTCCGTGGGTGGCAGGAACCCAACCACATGAGCCTCACCACTGTCTGCCTCTGTCTGTATTGGCAGGAAGGTGGGTCGGGAGCCTGAGCTGGGAGTTAAGCCCAAGCACTTTAACAAGGGATGAGGGCATCTTAGTCCATGTCTCAATTGCTAGGCCAAACACCTGCCCTAGCATCCATGTTTTTAAAGGGAAAAAACTCCCAGCTGAGCAGCATCTGCTCTTTTCAGAGCAAATAGGAGTTTACCAGTTGCTGTCAATTCCCACCACTCCCTGATACACCCTCAGCACTGAGGCCTTGTCACCTGGCTCACGTGCCTCCTGTCACCTGCCTGGCTCTGAAGGCTTCTAGGTTTGCAAACCTTGGGATTCCCTCTCTTCTCCAGCCAAAGGGAGAATTTGTCCTAATTGCCATTAAAATAGTCCTTAATAGTCCTTTCTATTTGTACAGATTGTTATGTGTTATTTTATTTGGATCACCAAAGTAGCCTGTGAAATGGACACGTTGCTTGCCTGCTTCTTCGGTTTTTGCAGATGAAGAACTGGAAGCTCTAAGAAATTAAATGATTTATGTATCAACTTACAGATTCTAAGGGATGAAGCTAGCCTCTGGGGATGCAGTCCTCTGGGGATGATGTCCCCCTGTACAAGGCTGCTGATTAGAAAGTACAGTTATGAGTATACTTCCATTGGCAGAATAGAGCCTGGTCAAACTCTTCTGGCAAAGTGTATGAAAAGTCTCAGGTATGCATCAAGTTTCACCAATCATGTTCCTCTTAGATATGTGTCCTTAAGGGACTGAGATGAGCACCAAGATTTATGTAGAAATGTACTCATTGCTATTATTTAAAATAGCCCCTAATTTGAAAATGAGCAGCATATCTCCCAAGAACTGGTTTAATGTATCTCAACTGAGATGTTATTGGCTTTGGAACTGGATATTTCCTCCTTGTAGAGTGCAGCACGTTTATCATCTATGATTCTTGGTCACTGGGTGCTAATAGCTACCCATCAGGTCATCCAAAATTGCCTTTGTCCCTTTCTAAATGTCCCTCGGGGTGGAAAGTACTGCCCAAGCTGAGAATCACTGGTAAACAACAGATGAGTCTTCATACTGTAGGATGCTCTGTCTTTAACACTAGTAATGTAGAAGAATATTTGTGGTTATTAGTTCATAATATGCTGCTGGGTTAAGGAGATAAGTATACAAGAAAGCCATGTTGATTTAAAATGTATAGAAAAATCTAGAAAGATAATAGAATGTCAACCTAGTTGTCATCTTTGGGGGCTGGGGTTGTGGAAGAATGATTTGAACTTTTTATTACTTTGTGCTTTTTGGTGTTTTCCATATGTTGAACTAGGCTGTATGATTTTATAATAATGGTATTAAAGATGAGTAAAGTGTCCCTAACAGAAGCCGTTCATTTATCCTGAATAAAAGCGCCCAACCAGGTTGAGTGAGTGGTGGGTCTGGTTTCCTCGGAATTAGTGGCTCTTGACTGGGTGACAATTAACAAGGACTGAGCCACAGTCTCAGTTGTCTCTGCTTTGCTGAAGAAGCAGGGACCACATGGCAGACTTCAGATAGGCCCATCTCAGGCTGGTGAGCATGAGTGAAGGGATGTGCATTTTTGGGGAGAGAGAGGGTTGATAAAAGAACCTCCCAATTAACTTTTAAAATTTCATTTAAAAGAAAAAAAATCCCTCTCTTCCAAGCTGGCATTTATTTAGAAATCATATTATTTTTGCTAGTTAGGAGCCTATCAAGTATCAGTTACCAGCAGGAGGATCCTGGGGTTTCCTATCCTATTTTTAAATGTGTGTGGTTGGTCAGGCACTTTTCCCAGAATTACTTGGAGGCAAAGAACCACCTCTCAGACGCTGAGGGCATGATTTTCAAGTCTCCAGAGGCCAGACATGTAGACGATGTTCTGTGAAGGTTTGATGAGGAGGATGGTCAGACAGTTGTGGGTCTTTTTTGGATAATAGCTTTATCCCCTGAGAAATGGTGACTAAAAGCAAATTAAAGGCTATTTTCTTCTCTGTAAGGAAGGCGCTCTCTCTGGCGGGATTGCCTCAAGGCAGAGTGGAAATAGATGAGTTTGGCTCTATTTATCATTGCGTTTACCTTCCAGTTTCCAGTCATTCTGTACTTTTGCCTTGATTCTGGCATCCAACCTGAACTTTGACTGCATTCCCAGCCACCGGCTTTCTGCAACTTCTCCGTCATGTTTTTCCCTTTCCTCTTTCCCTCTTCCCTCAGTACCACCAAAACCATCAGCCACTGTTGAGCACCTAATGTGTGTCAGGCCCTGAGATTGACATGCATCATTTATTTTCCACAACATCCCGTAAGATGGATGTATTTTATCTCTGTCTTAAAGGTGAAACACTGAAATTCACAGAGCATACTACTGAATATCAGTGATGGTGGCAGATTGATTATGTTCATTATTCATAGGCTATCTGTTTTCAAAAAATATTGACAGAAGCCAGTGAATAAAAATGTATTAAGTAGCTGAAACAGACCCTATTGATTCCCTACACAGCAAACTCCACATCCACTTCAACTCAAAGGCTGTTTGGAGAATGACCCTTACTGTTAGGATGCCTGGATTCCATAAAAGACCAAGATACAAAGAATGTCCTATCCTCTAAAGTCATGTAACTATAAAGTAAAAGAATACATTGCAATGTAGTTTTGTGCATTTAGTGTGTATTATCTCCTATGTGGATGTTCCGAACATTTCTGTGCCATCAGGTGCTGGGATAATGGTGATGCTCTCATATCCTAAAGGTCGAAGGATTTGGCCACAGGAACCTGAAACTCAGCCTCCTGATTCCTACCTCAAGCATTCTCCACATTCCACACAGAACTTCTTTGGGTCAATAGAATCATGTGTAAGAGGGGAGCCTTCTTTGTATTTGCTCTCAGATTATGGTCCAGAATCCAAACTTGGGATGAATGGTTAGGCTTCTAGCCTTAGTCACAGGAAGACCAGTTTGGGTTTGACAAAGAAACTTAAGAAAAATGACCTAGTAGTTAATAGATGTATGGAATTATAAGGATGATGGGTGACTCATATGAGACCTAGAGGAAGTGAGAGAAAACAGTGGGAGATTTGGTGGTTTTGAATCCATCAAATTTAAGGTTCAGTCAATTTTAGGGTATATCTGTATTTTCCAAAGGAAATGAGAGGATACTTCAGTTTGTGGAAAAAATGAGTTAAAAGGTAAGTTTGTTTTTGTGTAAAATTTTTTTTAAATTCATGCAGAATTCTTTTATTTATATGAATTTTCCATGAACTTGTTGAAGTACTCTCCTAGCTGTGGAGAAACGCATCTTAGAAGTATCAACTGTGCTAATACATTGTAGTTCTAACTTCTGTTGTCTCTATACCAAACACTCAGTTAAGCGTTTACAAATCTTTCTGGTATACCCACAATAATATCTGAGAAATGGATGCTATCACCTCCATTTTGTGGATGAGAAAATGGAGGCACAGAGTGGCAAGTTCCCTGCTGTCAGTCAGGTGAAGGCTGGCTGACCCAGTGCACCTGCTCTGGCTTTTTAACTGCTGCTGCGCTAATCGTCCTCCCAGGTGGCCTGAGACTTTCCCTGGGAAAGCATTTACCATAATTCCCTTTCCAAACGAAGGTTTTAGAACTAGTGATTTCGTGGAGTTACCCTTATTTCCGTTTTGTTTACATTGGCTATTGATTGCACAGGGTCAGTTATATTGTAGTAGCCTCCTCTACTGCAATGTTTTAAATGCTATCTGTACTCAGCTGGCCCTCAAATTGTTATTCATGGTGGCCCGTCTCCTGGTTCTACTTTCACAGTCACAGTCCCCCCTCCCCCCCGCCCCCCGGCGCGGGATGTGTAATGTGTATCTCTAATGTAAGGTACCCAAATCAGAGCTCTTATTTCCAGCTGTTTCCCTAGACTTTTTCAGCTCAATGGCACTACCATATCCAAGGATCATTCTCCTAAAACACTGGGTTATCCTCTGAATTCTCACATTCTAAATCCAATTTCTAGGTAGGCTTTTCTACTCACATGGGTAGAAACTTTTCTACTCAAAATATACACCAAATCTGCACACACACACACACCCAGGTTTTTTTTTTTTTTTTTAACTATGTCCACCTGACCCCCTTGTCCGACAGTCATTGCCTCTTGTCTAGATCCCAAGTACTGTGACAGCCTTCTCAGTGACTTCCTGGTCTTGGTCTCACTTTGCTGTGGTACATTCTCTACCCAACAGTCAGAGTGTTGCTTTTAAAAACCATGAATCTAATGAAAACCCTTCGGCGATTTCCCCTTTTTGTTGGAATAAAATTCAAATTCATCATCACAGAATACAAGGCTCTTCACTAAAGTATGTTCAGCTCTTCCCTCTATCCTATCTGGCCACATGGGCTCTTTCTGTCCAGCAAACATGTTAAACTTATTATAGGAACTGTGAACTGGCTGTTAGCTTTGTCTGGAACAATCTTCCCCAGGTCTGTCATGGCTGACTCTCTTCATCCAGATCTTAGATCAAGTTTGAATTTCCCATAGAACAGCTTGTAACACATCAAGTTAGAGTAGCTGCTTCCTCAAACACCTTTATCCCACCCCTGGGTTTATTTTCTCCTATTGTGTTGAATCATCTCATGTATTTTATAAGAATAAAAAATTGTACCTTGACACATTTCCCATGTTTTGAAAGCACCATCACAAATCTATGAAATGCATAAATTAATGAATTTTGTTTCTTTGAACATTTCATGGAGTACAGTTTGATGTGTCATATAGTATTTATATTAAATAAACAAATTCCACCAAGGAAAATACAAACCTATTTTGTTCTGGCTTGGCATTTTTGGTATATACTATATTAAATAAACAAGATAAAAAAACAGATGCAGATGCATTGTTTGACTTAAGCTTTAAGATGATCTTACCTAATCTCATAATTATTAAGTTGCTTGATTGCATTCTTGGCTTCCAGTTTATTTGAGAATGTTACAAATGCATATCCTCTATTGTTTCCATTAAAGTCCATCATCATTCTCATTTCATAAATTTTACCAATCTATAAGTAATAGAAACAAAAATTTATATTTATACATTTATACTTCCAATTCAGCACACATGCACGTGTATACATAAGCGCGCGTGCACACACACTCACACACACCCACACACGATGTTTTCTAAAGTCTGCCTCCTGTCAGTATTTAGCATTTGCATCCCATGTGGTTTGGGTTCCATGTTTTCATGTGAGGTTTAGATCAATCATCTGACCTATGGGAAAAGTCAAGTTAAAAAAAAATGTCCAAGTGCCCTTTCAGGCTGAGTTAAATATTTTTGACAGAGCAAATGACCTTTCATCACACAATTTTCTCCAAGTTTGTGCAGTATCTTAGAGACTTAAAAATACATTTGTCATCAGAAGTACAATTTCTTGATAGATTTGTCCATCCTCTCTAAATTGGCCTCTGAGGTCTCCATAGTTTGCTTTTGATTATAGTCTATCACTGATGTTTAAAACAAAAATCAAGACTACGCATTTGGAATGTAGCTGAGCTCACTTCATCACTGGTCTTTCTCCGTCATGATATCAGCATGAACACAGGTTCTTTTCAGGGGATGATCCATAGAGCCCTGTTACTTTTTTAAAAAGATTTATTGATTTATTTGAAAAGCAAAGAGAGGGAGAGGGAGTCTTCCATTGAATGATTCACTCCCAAAATGGCCACAATGGCCAGGACTCGACTAGGCCAAAACCAGGAGTTTTATCTAAGTCTCCCATGTGGGTACAGGGGCCCAAGGACTGCCATCTTCCACTGCTTTCCCAGGCACATTAGCAGGAAGTTGGATCAGAAGTGGAGTAGCCAGGTCTGGAACCAGGGCTCACATGGGATGCTAGCAGCATTGCAGGTGGCAGTTAAGCCCACTGTGCCACAACTCTGGCACCTGGGGGGTCCTGTTATTTTCTCAACCTGTAGACAAAGGTCTGTGCTAATCTTAAGATAACTGACAGCCCCCAGGACCCCCACAATAGGAGAGCATTCACTCTATCTTTCTGGCTGCAACGCCCCTACTTGTGCACATATGAATCTCCCCCACTACATCAGCTATCGTTGTGGATTGTTGTAAGGGTGGTCCAAATAGGCATGATGGGCATGTGTAGGGAGAAGCAGTGTCATTAAATGCCGTTACCTTCCCTTTGTGGTTTGTTGCCCTGCAGCTCAGCCCCTCCCCATCCAATCACATGGTGTCTAGTGGTGGACACAAATTTCTTCTGGGTTCTTTAGGAAAAGTTGGAACATTCATCTTTATCTTTGAGTGTTGATGCTGGTTTTCAGGTTAAGAATCTAAGCATCTTATAGGATTAAGTCCTCACAATTTGTTCACATACCAGATGGGAATAGAGTTTGGAATCTGAGGCTGATTCTCTTTCTTTCTCTCTCTCTCTCTCTCTCTCTCTCTCACACACACACACACACACACATACACACACACAATGAATATTTATATGTAGGAAAAACAATTTGTCATATTTATTAAATTTTCCAGGAATGTATTAATTGCTAAAAATTTCTAGGTAACTGATTAAAAATAAATCTTAATTTTAAATTCTCTGTTTAATTTTGGATTTACTTTAAAATCACCTATGATTCAGAATTAAAACTAAGAGCATTTATTACTTAGTAATTATATAACAATCCATATTCTGAATCTTCCTGATGTATTAAAAGTAGAAAAGAAATTTGGAGTTGTGGAAAATTTATTTTGTATCTATATTGACAGGAATACTCCTTATTTTTTGAAAAGAGAGGGAGAATATTTTCTACACAGGTGTTAATTCCACAATTGCCCACAGCATCCAGAGATGAGTCAGGCTGAGGCCAGGAGCCCAGAACAAAATCCAAGTCTGCTACGTGGGTGGCATAGATCAAGGTTTTGATCCATCATCTGTTGCCTCTCAGGATGTACATTTGTAGACAGCTAGAATGGAGAGTAGAGCTAGGACTTGAACCCAGGTCCTCCAAAATGTGATGCAGGCATTCTAAGGAGAGGCATAGCCACTGTGCCAAATGCCTGACCTGGCATATTCTTTTTTTTTTTTAATTTTTGTGAAAATGTTGCATTTTATGAAACAATGTCAAAATGCCAATTTGGAGCATATCTTTTAGCCCGGTTTCTGTGGTGTTATTGTTGATTGACAGAGGCATTGAGTTGGCTGTGAGATGGCCTACTAGTGGAGGGATTGGAGAACAATTTGTAAATTTGAAATTGTTAGCAATGGAACTTCAAGCTGTCCATAACAGGATGAAGACCAGAGTCAAGACAGTGAACAGTAAGTGAACACTCACCCATGGTTAGGAAGGTTTGAACTTTGTCCATGGTTGAGGAATGGCAGTGGGAAAAGAAATCATCACTGATGAGTAAGAATGAGAGTGAAAGCAGAGTAAAAGGAGTAGCATTTTTTTTCTTGAAAAGTAAGGAACATTAAATGTTAAATCTGGACTCACTTTTTCACATATTGGTATAAGCTCATCCTCAAAAAGATCCCGGGGAAGTTTTCCAATGAAAATTTCACAGCCTCTTTCCGGGGGTGCAGCGTCCCAGCCAGGTGGAGGGCCACCATACTTTCTTTGTCCGTTCTCCTGCACATCCACAATGGGGAATATGAGGGAGAAAACAAAGCCATGGAATCTTTAGTTTGATTTCCTTGATTATTTTTCAGAACCTATTTACAATGAGGAATATGTTTATTTTTGACAAGTAATACCAGAGAATAAAAGTGAAAGTCTGTTATATGAATAATATACCATGCTGTGTGCTTTAGCCTTGCCTGAGATGAGCACCATAAAAAAAAAGTCAAGGGATGGCTAAATATATGGGACTATAACTTTTAAATTGCTGATTTTATTATGGTAAGAAGACTTAACATTAGATATATCTTCTTAATAAATGAAGGACTTGTTATGTTTTTCTTCTGTGCAATAAACTCACCAAAGCGTGATCATCAAGGCATCTTATTATAATTTAAATTTCAATGTCAGGAAACTTCAGTTGAAGGCTGTGTTGTGGCAATAAAGGTCTCGGAGCTGGACTACTTGGTTCCATTGTTTACTATCTGGAAGATCAGGGGCAAATGAGTTCTCCTATCCCCACTTTTCTCATATGGGAAGTGAGAATAATATCTGCTGCAACAATAATAAAACAATGTAGCTGTTGCACAGAGGAGACAATACATCAACATGCATGGCACAGCTCTTGGGACATGACATGATATAATTGTATATTCGACAGCCATCCCCTTCTTGACTCCCTGGATTTAGGTGGTTTTCATGCGCTAAGCAAGAAAATGGGGCACTTACATAGAAACTTACTGAGATTAACATTTGGAGAAGTACATTGACTAATCTGGGGGATGGTTGATGAGGGACTTCAATCTGTTTCCAAGGTTGATAGAATGGTTCATTAATGCTGAATCTTCTCTCTAGTGGTACCTTTGTTCCTTTGTTTTTTTTTTTTTTGTTTGTTGTTTTTTTTTTTTTTTCCCAGGAGTTAAAGACACAAAAATAACTCTAGGGGCTCAAAACTGAAGGTGTGGGTCCTGAAGTAGTTGATTTATTGCGCAAAGGTAAACTACTGAGGCATGCTTTAATCTTTTCCTCATTGTATTCAATTGTGATTTTGGGAGAAAAGAAATGTTAAGGAACCAAATGCCATTCATTACTAACAACACAATGGACATTTAAGGAATTACTGTGCTATAATATAGTACATAGTTGAAAAGAAAACATAATACATAGACTAAAAAAAAATTCTCCAGTGTAAAACCTTAGCCATCCTTAGAAATAGTTACTGCTAAAAGTTGCAGCCAACTTTTCCAAATATTCTTCAAAGCATATGTATGTATGTATGTATGTATATGTATATACATATTTATTTGATTTATTTATTTGAAAGGCAGAGTTACAGAGAGGCAGAGGCATGGAGAGAGTGATCTTCCATCCACTGGTTCACTTTCCAATGGCCACAATGGCCAGAACTGGGACAATCCGAAGCAAGGAGCCAGGAGTTTCTTCTGGGTCTCCTGCACAGGTGCAGGGGCCCAAGCTGTTGGACCATATTCTACTTCTTTCCCCAGGCCATAGCAGAGAGCTGGATTAGAAGTAGAGCTGCCAGATCTCGAACCGGCACCCGTAATGGATACTGGCACTGCAGGTGGCAGTTTTACCCACCATGCCACAGTGCTGGCCCCTAAAGTACATTCTTAAAAGACACATGTTAGTTGTTTAAACACATTAACTTATATGGTAGCTGTTTGATATTTAAAATCAAAGTACAGCAGCTTAGAGTAATACTGTTAAATGATACTTCATATGTACTAACTTGAGCCTTTCTCAATTATTTATAAAGGTTAGCATAAAGGTTCTTTAAATAATGTCTGTGGGGGCTGGTGCTGTGGTGTAGTAGGCTAAGCCTCCTCTTGTGGTACCAGCATCCTATACGGCTGCTGGTTTGAGTCCCAGCTGCTCTACTTCTGATCCAGCTCCTTACTAATGCTCCTAGGAAAGCAGTGGAAGATGGCCCAAGTACTTGGGTCCCTGCACCCATGTGGGAGGGGTGCTCCTGGCTTCTGGCTTCGGATTGGCCCAGCTCCAGCCATTATGGCTATTTCGGGAGTGAACCAGTGGATGGAAGATCTCTCTATCTCTCCATCTCTTTCATTAATTCTGCCTTTCAGATAAATGATTTTTTTAAAGATTTATTTTATTTATTTGAAAGACAGAGTTACAGAGAGAGGTAGAGACAGAGAGAAAGGTCTTCCATCCACTGGTTCACTCCCCAGATGGCAGGCCGCAATGGCCGGAACTGCACCAATCGGAAGCCAGGAGCTTCTTCTGGGTCTCCCATGTGAGTGCAGGAGCCCAAGGACTTGGGCCATCTTCCGCTGCTTTCCCAGGTCATAGCAGAGAGCTGAATCAGAAGAGGAGCAGCCAGGACTAGAACTGGCACCCATATGGGATGCTGGCACTTCAGGCCAGGGCTTTAACCCACTGTACCACAGCACTGGCCCCCAATAAATGAATCTTTTTAAAAAATGATGTCTGTGGTTATGATTACTTCTTTACTCCTAATAATTTATACTATGCAGCTTTAAATAATCATAGGAAAGATAACAGACAAATGTTCTGCCTTGCCTTGATCATTTTTTGCTTCACACAGCTAGGTCTTTTTCACCTTATTGAATATTTAAATTTTGACTATAACATCCTTGTATACTTTTATCTTACCCTATATTCCTGAAGTATTATTCTGAAGAATAATTAAAAATGAAATGTCTTGTGCTTAAAATCATCTATATCTCAACCAAGGATGTCCTAAAATACACAAATTTGCCATTTGCAGGGGGAAAGAAATGTTTGATTGACTTATTTCCTAACAAATACCTATGTAGCACTTCCTGTATGCTGGATGGTGTTCTAGCCCCTCAGCAATGTTACAGATTCAGGACATCATTATCCATTAATTAATTAGCTAATTTTATTTGAAAGAGTGAGAGAGAAGAAAAGGGGGTAGGGAGAGGGAAATGGGAAAGGGTAAAAGGGGAAGGGGAGGGAGAGAGACGTTCCACCTTTTGGTTCACCTCCCAAATGCCTACAAAAGCTAGGTCAGACAGGAGCTTAGGTCTCAGGCTGAGTCTTCCACATTGGTGGTAGGAACCCAATACTTGAGCCGTCACCTGCTACCTCTTAGTGGGCATATTAGTAGAAAGTTGGAATCGGACAGAGTTAGAAATCAAGTCTAGGCAGTCTGTTACAGGATGTGGGCATTCCAAGGGGCCTCTTGACTTCTGTGCCAACTACCCATCCCCAGCACTATGCTTATCCTGTTTTAGAGAAGACCCAGAAGCCCAGAAAAATCCAGTAAGTTGCTGCTATCACATACAGAGAAGTCAGGAAATTTGCCTTTAGAGCTGACCAGTCTGGTGTCTGTATTTTGCTGCCTTGATACGGGGAAACCTAGTCATTTACAACAGATATGTGAACATACGCCTTATTTATGAGAAAAAAATTACCATGCCGTTAAATAGCAAACTCTGCTGCATTTCAAGTGTTTTTCAATTTCCAGTAACTTTTTTAAAAATTCTATTTGAGAAGCAGAGAGAGAGAGAGACAAACAGCCACAAAGAAAACTCCCATCCACTTCCTCACTTTCCAAATGCCTAAGAAATCCAGGGCTGGGCCAGGCCAAAGCCAAGAACCAATCTGGGTCTCCCATGAGCGTGATAGGGACCCAGCTAGTGGAGCATGGCTGCTGCCTCCCAAGGTTCGCATTAGCAGGAAGCTGGCACCAGGAGCTGGAGGTGTGTAGTCAACCCAGGTACTTTGGTAGGAATGCTGGCTTCTTCACTAGCATCTTGACTGCTAGGCCAGACACCCACCCCGACTTTCAATAGTTTGATTACACAACATTTTGAGGAGAAAATATCCCATGCTTATTGCTAAGAGAGAGAGAGAGAGGCATATTACTTGCCAAATCGCTATCCTCCTGTCTGGGCCAAATGTCTCTGCTTGGGTGATGGTCCTGCCCTGAATCCATTTCTGCATTTACATGTCTATGACTGCTAATGTATTATTTAAATAAATTTAGTATGCATTTGCCAGACTTTTTGATCCTTTAGATTGAAGAAACCAAACTCTCATCCCATGCAAAATAGATCTTCCAGAATTTCTGATTTGAAAGCTTCATCTCCTAATTTGAGACGTAGGCCACTGTAGCAGGTAAACCTTTTTCATTTTCACATCCTGTCTCTTGATGGCTATTACTGCTACGAAGGACACCACACTGTTTGTGCCCATCACTTGTGTAGGAGGGTTTATTTACTCGGCTCAAAGGATCAGGCAGGAAAGCTGACTAGGATTTCTGTGTTTTTTTATCAACCTTGGAACAATTCCCCACTAATTATTTTAGGGGAATTGCAGAGTCTGGCTGGTTCAGAGAATACCCTGAAGTTCCTGGACACTGCGTGTGCGTGTGTGTGTGTGTGTGCACGTGTGTGTGCGCAGTGGTGGGGAAGAGGAAGAGCTCCCACATCTGCTCTGTCAACCACCCACTGGGTGTGGAATGCAGCGGCGGTGGTAGTGTAGGCCAATTTAAGGTTAGCACTGGGCGTTAGTCACGGGGTTGGAATAGCTGTCCATTACTCGGGAAGGACAGTTGGACTCTGGATTGCTGGTATTTCAGGCACTGTTTTCATAATTGAGGAGTTTAAAATAGAAAAAGCCCAGTTACAACTGCCCTTCTCTCCCTTCTCCCCACCCGCTCTGATGTCCTCCTCCCGGGATGCACTCACCCTAGCAACACAAATATTAATAGTTCAGAGAAAAATAGTATAGGCTGGTTTTTTTTTTTTTTCCAATGAGGGAATAAACTCTGCTAAGTTTTATTTGTCCGAAGACTTAGAAACTGTTTTCTCTCGTGTCACATATAAATGTGTGGAAACCCTTTAACTACATACATTGAAGGTTTATAGCCAATTCTAGCTATAAATCCAGTGGCTTTATTTTAAACATTGGGTGCTGAGCCTAACCAGAATCTCAGTTTGTCGATGTACAGTGTTTGGAGAAACCAGTTCCTCCTGAAGTCT